CTAGCTGTGGAGATGAGGCATGCTCGCCGAAGAGTCAGTGGATGTACCCTAAACCAGAGAGAACCAGGTCACCTGCTTCTTGGGACCCTCAACCTTTCGATGCCTTCGACTCTAAAACTCTAAACAACTCTTTTGGGGAGCAGGCGGTGTCCAAGAAGCTCCAGCTGCTTGCCCAGACGAGGGCCCGCCCAGCTCCCAAGCAGGAGCCAATTGGAGACCGCTGCTTTTGGCGCCTTTAGGTTTCGCTTTCGGCATTGTGCAGAGAGAGAGAGAGAGAGAGAGAGAGAGAGAGAGAGAGAGAGAGAGAGAGAGAGAGAGAGAGAGAGAGAGAGAGAGAGAGAGAGAGAGAGAGAGAGAGAGAGAGAGAGAGAGAGAGAGAGAGAGAGAGAGAGAGAGAGAGAGAGAGAGAGAGAGAAAAAGAGAAAGAGAAAGAGAGAGAGAAAAAGAGAGAGAGAGAGAGAGAGAGAGGCTGGGCAAGCACTTTGGTCAGATGCCAATGCTGAGTCGGGTTGATAAAATTTATCGAGCACTTGTGACGTCGTGGTTGTGGTACGAGGAGGAGGAGCCCAACAACAGCATCAGCAACAGGACGACGACAGTGACAACGACGGCCACCTAGCAGTTATGGCCCGACGACAACGACGACGTCGACTTCTAATTCTACTTCTAACAAGATTGCATCGCTTTTGTCAGTATACATCAGTCACTCTCCACAAGTAGCACACATATGCTTAAGTATGGAGTTGAACCAAGGAGGCCCTCTCCACTCCCCTCGCCCCCTCAGCCAGAATGTCCTGGCAGGAAGGATCTCTTGGTGCCCCAGCGCCAAGTATGGCGGCCCGCAGCTCAGAGGGCGACAGCGTTGGACTAGAGGTTCGCGAGGCCAGAGGCGCATGGAGGCTTCTCATTCGAAGGATACGCTTGTTTGTTTACAGACGCTGCTTGTTCCTTCATCTCACCGTTGAAAGCATACGAGTGTCCTTGTTGAATTAGCTAGTGCCGGGGGGCATGCAGAGCTGCTTGTTCGGGAGTAGGTTTAAGGTTTCAGTGTACATCAGCACCGTGTGCCCTCACAGCACTGCCCCTCTTCGCCCTCATGGGAGTTTCCGAAATAGGGAACCGTGATATAGTACCCTAAATCGTAGGATCCTTATTATAAGGACCCCCGAATAAGGTACCACTAATTTTCGGAAACTCTAGGAGCTCATAGAGCCCTAGAAAGGAACCCTTGTACCATGTAGTACCCTTACAGTAACCCTCTAAAGGAACCCTTAGGTACTACCCGACTTATCGGAAACTCCCACGTGAAGCATCACCTCCGCAGGCGCCTTCCCCGGGCAATCCCTTCGGAGCGACGCCGGCGCGAGGTCGCGGTCTTGATCTAATGTCGATTTGTGGAGCCACAGCAGGTTGTCGTGAGGTTTCCAGTTCCTACCACGCCGCGGCTGCCAATACACTTCGCAAAGGCGTTTTGTTCGGTAAGTACTGCGTAGTTAGTGACTGCCAGAATTACATCAAGAAGACTTAGGCTGCGCCTCGCAACAAAGGCCAGCTCGCCACGGTCACCAGAACAGGACAAGAGCCCCCAACCTCGAAAGCCAGGCTGCACCTCAGACCCAGCTCCCTGCTGACCTTCTAACAGGTCGGGACCACCGCTACACCGTCGAGGAGGCCAGATCGAGTACGACTAGCTTTTCTAACCCACAACCTTCGACAGTCTATGCTTTGAGCCCAGTGCCTGGGTCGAAGATAGCTACTACATTGCTTTTACAGGCATGGGAGGAGTAGGAGCTCGATTGCCCGCCTCTTGAGCCCTTCTGCACCTTGAGACCTCCATAGGCCCGATAGCCAAAGTCCCTTCAACCCAAACTGGCAGATCCCCACGATTATCCAAAAGCCTTTGAACCCAAAGGGCAGAGCCCCACGCCCCAGACCGGATAGCTTGCAAGGCTTTGAACTTGCTCTGTGAGAAGAAGGCCGGGCTTTAACCCTAGAGCTGACCCTGAATCCACCCCTGAACTTGAAAATTCAAAACTCTGAACCTCTTGCAGACCCTACACCGTAAACCCCAAGCCCCAAGCCCGAAATTGGCCCTGAACCTCATAAATCCTAAACACCAAACCCCACGTGCAATCCGAAAGCCTTTGGAAGGAAGCCGGGGTTCGGCTGTGCAGAGACACGTAAGGGTATTTTTCGAGCTTATTCTCAGAGTTCCGGAAGAAGGAAGCCGTAAGGGATAGCGGAGTCTCGGGGCAGCGAAGTCTCCAACTGTTTTTGGTGTGTTCGACGAACCTCGGGCGCGGAATTGAGAGTACGTGCAAGTGGAGCCACAGGGAACTTGCACTTCCTAGATGTTGAAGCCTGTGCTCTGTCTCTTCCTGCGCCTAACTTGACTTGGGCTCCCTCCATAAACGCCCATAGCCCTCACGCACTGGCCACATCCCAAAGAGGGGCTAATGCCAATAAGTCCAGAACACAGCCTCGACATGTCTGGCTGAAACAGCGCCACTTGTTTGTCCGCCTTGCTCTCACTCTATTGTTGGCGCCCCGCATCAATCGCAGGAGCCGATCTGGAAAGGGTCGCTCATTGGTGTGGTGCACGCCGCAGGCGGCTTTCTTTTCATGCATTCCCTGCAAGGCAGAACCACGCCCAGAGCCGCTCCTTTTGTTTTCTCCACAGTCCAAGGCTAGGGCCCTGAAAGATCCTGGCAGGTGTGCAGGAGATGACAGCGATCAACTCCCACTTGCCGGGGAGGTTCGAGTTCGTGTACGCCCCGAAAGTCCAGGCTCACGGCCTCACAGCAACGGTTGCAAGTTGAGTGGGAAGATCTGCGTATTGAGGCCTCAAGTCTTCAGCTTGCTGTGTGGTCAGTTTTCAAAATGAGGGATTGAACGGTACAGGTACCGCTTGCACACATGCGCTGTTCTGCACTTCGATTTACAGAGAGGCTCTTTATTACCCCCGGTGTTGACGCTCGACTTCAAGCTTTTCGCCTCTGCGCCTGCGAAATGTACATCATCTCGTTCTTTGGTTTTCCTACTGAGTAGGCAGCGAGGCAACATAACAAAGAGCTTAAGTTCATTCCGGTTTCGTTTTATTGAAAGTGGTATCCCAACTATAACTTGAGTCAATCTAACCAGCACCCAGTACTTGGCTAGTAGTGGAATCGAACTCGCAGAGATACACCTGCATGCAGTAGCCCGACCAACCTGTTTGGACACCTGAGCCTATTCTTGCAAATCTGTTTTGCCAGGCCGCGTGGAATCTGCATCAGAACTCAGCGATGATTTAGACGCAGGTGCCAGCGGGCACGGGTCTGTTCGATCACGCGAGATTGCAATCTTCGTAGCTGGTCGCAAATTAAAAGTCACACATCGTGCAGACGCGTGCATCGAAAGGTCTTCACGGATTTGATGAGAAAGCACGGATTCCGGAACCGAGCTCCATAATCTATAGCCTGCAGTATCCGAGTCCCTTCTGATTGCGAGGCTGACGGCAGTGAGACGGATGGAGGCACACCTCTTCCTTAGCTGGAAATCGATAGGAACCGGTAGGAGTAGGATGAAGCGATGGGTTCTAGAACCACTTCCACTACTGAACCGCACCCGCAACTCAAATGTCAGCCTGGCCATTGTACTCTGAAGACATCGCAGTTGTGACAGCTGGTATGCAAGCTGTAAGTTCAGAAGCCACACGCACATGAATACAGAAAGGTACGTCAAGGGTACAGCCTCTTGGTGTCGAAGCCACGAAGACCCATCCCAAGCAGCGGTTGAGAGGAGGGTCCTGCGTGAGAGTGGAAGATTCAAAAAGGAGCGCCTCAATGGGGAATCGACTGAGTTTGATGCTTAGGGCCTACTTCCCCAAACCTTACACTTACACCTTCCACCGCAGAAAATTGTGTAGAGAGGGCAAGGGGAGGGTTTGTAGTAGACGTCTAGTTTTCCCAGTACAACTTATTCAGACCCTATGTTACCCTGTTTAAGTCACCTCAGGATTGGCTCCAGGAGAAGTCACTACTCAGGCTCTATTCCGTTAAGGGAATATCGGAAAAGACATATTTGTCGAAGAAAGCCCCGCGGCACCCTGAATCGTCAGCACGCAGTCCGCACACATTTGGTCCTCTGCAGAAAAACGGTATAGAAGGCCTCGAACCCCACGGTAAATCCCGGAACAAAGTATGCATGAGGACACCACCCCCTGTCAGCCCTCTGCGAACACTGTACACAGGCTGACTCGAGAGTGAGAGCAAGGCAAGTTGTGTCCAATCATGACCTAGTCAAAATAGAGACCTGGATCACCATGATAACAATGGCAGAAGCAGGTGGCAAGAGCCAAGCATATGAGGGCAATGACCCCAATTAGCAGTACGCTGCATCGAAGCATGAAGCCAGCTAAACCCCCAAGCACTATACAGCCATCTAAACCTTGCCTTAAACATCCCTAAGCTCTATAGAACCTTCTTAGCTAAGGGACGTGTATCACACACCCACATGGCGCTGCACAGAACCCGGTAAACGCCTCGCCAAAGCTGTATAGAGCCCTCACGAATCCCGAGGCAGAGCGTGGAACTGGGGTTGGCGAAGCAGATGCTCGCTGCCAAGTCACGAGTCCTTGGGTTTTTTGTTGGTGTGTTTTTTTACGAAAGGCTGATGTGTGCCGTTGGGCGGAGAAGGTTTTAGTTCCCCAAACAGTGCGGTACAGAGAATTGGTTCGTGTTCCCGAGCGCCTTGTTTGGGCTCAACATCCAGACACTGCAGGGAATCCCGCCGGTCGTGATTTCAAATCTCCAGCATTTTCGTCTTGGTGGTATCCTTCTCACATCGCTGGTTTCCCGGTGGTCTCCTGTTTCTCCTTGTGGTCGTGGTCTTGTTCGCTCGGGTTCAGGCTTGTTCATGGTTTGCTGTTAAACACCCAAGCCCTCAACCTTGAGCTCTGCAAGCTTCCCCCAAACAAAACCCCCGAGGTGGCAGCCGTGGTCGCCAAGGCCAAGGCGCTCATGGAAGCAAAGGCGACAGACGTAGAGGCCCGGCTGTAGAGGTGTTTAGAGCGTTTCAGGCCTGCGGTTTCGGTTTGGGGTAAAGGTCAGGGTTCATGCACGGTTACGGTCTAGGAGTTCGGGATTAGGATTTGGGGATTCAGGCTATTCAACAAAAGCGATTCCGAGCCAGCCCTGCTTTTTGAGGCTTTCAGAAACCCGGGTCCGTGCTTATGAACCCTTCGATTTTTTTTCAAGAGTTGCCTTCGCCTTCTTCAGATCAGGGCTATAGGTGGAGCTTGAGTGAAGGAGAGTAAACATAGTGAGCTTAGGCTGAGGTAGTGAGGATGGTGAACAAGGCTCCCTTGCTTGTTAGGATCCGAATTGAGGGTTTTTCCTCTCACTTATTGCTCGTTTAAATGACGCAGTGCAATGAAGGATTAGCAATCTTTGGCCCATTGGCGAGACTGGCCCAACCCCTGGAGCCCGAACCTAGAAGTCTCTCCGGAAACCTAAGCCCCAAGCCCTCACCCAGAAATGCTTAGACCTGGGCCCTAGCAACGCTAGTAGGCCAACGGATTTCCTTGGCAATTGCCAGGCAGACATCGACGATGGCTTCGCGACCAAGGTCCGGCCCGATGTACAATTTGTGTGTATGTGCGTGCACGTGTGTGCATGTATTTTACATTAGCATACATATACATACCTACCTATTTACATGCAACATACAAACGTACATACACATACATACATACATACATACATACATACATAAAGCAAGAAGTGACATGGTATTATCATGTTATCTTGCAATCTATCATCATCTGTATGGGTAGTACTGTACTACGGAAGGATTCAAATGGTACCAAGCAGAAGTGTTTGTCTTTTTCCCTGTCAGTTCCTGCGACACTTCCACACGCCGCTGCAGCCCTTTGCCGCATTCCTCGGCGGCATTTGTGCACAAGAGGCCGCATCGTTTGAGAGTTTACGACGCGGTAGTCTGTGCTTGGGAAGACAGGGCTGCTATCTTTCGGATTATGAGAGGTCTCGAGGCCGTGACAGCTCTTTGAGCGTCGTGCACCCCCAGTTTATAGCAGTTGAAGAATTGCAATTTTGAGTGCACTAGAATGTTGATATGATCTGCCCAGAAACCCTGTTCTACTCATGAAGGCCTCTGCAGTATGTCATCTGTCCAGGTCGTGAAAGTGGCGGGCAAGTTCACGCCCATTCCCGGCTGGCTGCACTTCAATGCCGTGGAGGCGCGGCACCGTTGAAGCCAGCCGTGGCAGCGGCTTTGGTGATGGTGTGTGGTTGCTATTGTTACATGGGCTGCGGCCAGGTTGAGGCTTTGGCATCGAGGATTTATCGAGATTCCCGGATTTCGCCACTTTGAGAGAATTGCGGTTTCCGTACCATGGTTTCACGATTCATTACGAGTTTGGGGATCGGCATCTGGGGTCATCGTGCTACAGTTTTGGGATGCGAAATCTGTGCCTACTGTAAGGGCGTATACGAAAGTAATCCTTACAGACCCCTTTATAAGGAACCCCGAAATGAGCTCTATTATAAAGGCCCCCATATTAATCAATTATGCAACCCTTATAGTGGCCCTTGAGGGAAAATCTTAAAGGAACCCCTAAACCCATTCACGCCATGCAGATCCGTTTCATTGTACCTCTTACAGTATTCCTTATACACCCCTTAATCGGCCCTATAAACCCTGTAATCCGTCATAGTACCCTAAAAGTTGTCCCTTATAGCTATCCCTTATACCTATCCCTCAGAGTACCCTTCTAGTTATCCCTTCGAGGAATCCTAGAAAGGAGCCCTTTAAAGGAATAGAGGAATCCGATGCAGATCTCTTTCGAGCCCCCCTTCTCAGGCGCTCCCTGACTCCCCACCGGCGGATGCTGCGCCGCAGGGCAGCAGGCGGATGCAGCCTTTCCGTTAGAGAGAGACAGAAATCTGAGAGTAAAGGTCGTAAAGGTAGTAGGAGTAGTAGAAGTAGTAGTGCCTTTCCGTGAAGAGAGAGACCTCTGAGAGTCTACTGCAAGCAAAGAAAGGGGTAGCAAAGTCTACTGGTAGGTAGTAAAGGTAGGACTAGTAGAAGTAGTAGTAGAAGTTCTTAGTAGTAGAAGTAGTAGTTGTTGTTGTTGCTGTCGCATTGTGAGATGGAGTGGGAGTAGGAGTGGGTCGGGGTGCAGGTCTCTGAAGCGCTCACCTTTGCCCTCCTTGTCCATCCCAGCCCCGCCCCCTTCCTCACTCCTTGTCTCCCTTCCGGCCTTCCTCGGTACACACATCGCATACTCATACCATACCTGTATACTTATCACATCGTCTACATCTAATACTTAGTCTACAGTCTCCAGCTACATGTACATATGCCGACACATATGTGTATATACACGCGCACACACACACACACACATACGTACTCTCGCAGACGTACCCGCACACTGCATTCTTACATTGTTCAATGTCAAGATGGCGATCACGGTGTCAGAAGTTAGGAGCTGCGATGGTTTGCTGTTACAGGTACAACAAGAAGCATTACATGAATCCCTCACATGTTAGTGTATGCAGAGAGTTCACTTCTGACATGGTAGTTTTGCGTCTCGGATCCGCATGAACCCGATGCTCTGTACCCAATTTTTGGGGAGTGCTAGGGCTAGGGGAATCCGAAAACCGTCTGGAACCGTTGCTGGCAAGTTGCAACTTGCAGGTATGATTCTCTGGCCGCCGTCTACGGCCACAGTTTCGTGAAGAAGCTGCAGAACCTGAAGCGCCGGCCTCAACAAGCCTTCGGCGGGTCGAGGCTCAGTAGCTCCGCCTTTTCCTGTCAGGTACTTCATGGTTGGCTGTGGCGCACTTGGGTGCGAGCCGAGTGCTTAGTGAACCCGTCCTTTGCAGCGCGTGCTTGATGTGCACTCCTTGGCCTTATCGCCACATCGAAGAATCCCGAGTCAGTCATGCCGATTCGGAGCCATTCGCGCATCGACCCAAGTCAGCAATCTGGCCCATGTGTGTAACCAGAGTTGCAATACCTGATGCTGATACTCCACAGTATCGGCTTGTAAATTCTTAGAGCACAGAGTCCCTTGCCGTCTTGGCTTTCCAGAATGCCGTCATGCAAAATGCACGCGATAGAGCAGCGGGACGGTGCAATGACAGGAGGAGCAAGCATGGGCATGCAACGACAGGTGTAAAAAGCCACAACAAGACGGGAAAGGCAGGAGCCCAGACAATAGACCATGCCTGCAGGCTAAACCCGCTGCTGTGATTTTCCTTATATAGACCCTTGCTTCAAGTCCTCCTGATAACCCTTATACAAACCCTGGCCCTAAACCTCCAAAGCCCTCAAGGCTGTAAGGCCCTTTAGATTCAAAGGTTCCTCAAGAACTTCGCGCTGAACGGCGTTTGCTGCGGCCCTGACGGCCTGCTCACGGCGAGCCCGGCGAGAGTTGTTGGTTTTTGTTAATTGTCTTTGTCCGAAACAAGAGGAATCAGACTTTGTTTGTGCATGTTTTTGCAGTTTGCGTGGCTTCAGGGGCTTGTTTCTTCGACGCTGTAAAAGGTCCTTTGGGAAATTGCAGAGCATTGTTTTCTTCACAGTATTGTAGAAGTCAAGGGTTTGCACTTTCTGGCTAGCACAGTAATTATTTGTACTGGGGAGTCAAAGGCGGCATAAGCATTCACAAACAAAACTGTACAACTTGGGTTTCGGGCTTGGGCTACTGTCGCTCTGAACTGTCCAGGTCACGGATGCAGACCGCATCGAGCTCTCGAATCTGACGCGCCAGCCAATGCCCCGGCACTCGAAGCTACCGGGGTTCAGGGGCAACATCATAGGCAAATATGAAAAATGCTTCGCATGTCTGTGCGCATGTATACATTTGGTATGTTGTACGTATGTGCTTACATACATACATACATACATAAATAAATTCTTTCTCTCTCTCTCTCTCTATATATATATATATATACACACACACATACAGGTGAAACCATGCGTGTACCCATCACCTGGAAAGTGGTTTCATGCAGCCACTTTACAACCACTGTGAGCACTCAGATCATGATGACGATGATGATGATGATGATGATGGTGATGATGCGCGTGAGGACGCCGACATGAGTTAATGTTCGAATGGCGCCGCTGCGGCTGCTGCTGCTGCTGATGATGATGATGATGATGATGAGTTGGCCAAGTCTGGCATGTGTGTCGTCGTGTTTGCATCCCGCCTCAAGGCTTAGTCTGTTCTTCGACAGCTAAAAGTTGTCGGTCCGAGTCTCCACGCAGCCAACACAGCAGAACATAGGACGAAAGCTCAGCCTCAGCTCCGCTCGTTCCAAGGTTCCTCTTCCGGGAGCACAACGTCGGACAGCCGAAGAGCAAAGCAGCGACGGCCATGGCCCAGGCACTCAAAGCAGGGCGGCTTTATGTTGCAGATGCAGAATATCCGGCATTTTTGGAGGAGGGATGGAAGTATAAATGGGGAGTAGTGTTGAGGAGTGCCATCTGCGAGCTCTTCGGACTGAGAGAACCTCGCTGTCGCAGGTGATGAACCCAGGCATGAAGGCTGGGGTCTCAGATGCCATCTGGCCTGGCAGGCACGAGCAGCCTCGGTCCGTTAGGAACTGCAGGTTGGTAACTGTAACAGTGCCTCCACAATTACAAAAGGTGAACAGGACAGCTTCGCAACACCAGCGCTTCTGCAAAGAGGTGTTGCCCTCGTAAAGGACTTCCGTCGCCGCCAGCAAGTAACAAGTGACAGGTGTGTTTAGAGCCTCCATCTACCCTCTATTAGACCCTAAATGCCTCCTAGTTGGTGCCATACAACCCCCATTTAAGAGAAAACCAAGCGGCTCCTGGTTTTCGTAGCTCCTAAAAGGCAAGGAGAGCCCTCAGCTTTTGGTGGCTTAAAGCACCTCTTCGTGGGATTTGTCAGGTCCGGGCTCTCGAGATGTTCGTCGGGCCGAAGACCGAGGAGAAGTATTCCTTTTGCTGCCCTTTTGGTACCCTTATGACTTGCAGTAAGAAGCATCATGCTAATAATACTGGTAATACTAACAAAAATGAGCCGCTGAGCGTCGACATTTACACCTGAAGTGCGGCGACTTGATGCCGACTCCACCCCTCCCCATCCGGGCACGACTCCTTAATCCGGGCGAGTCGGATTCTTCCAGCTCCTGAATGGAGGATAGCTTCAACGACGAGTTCTGGATGTCTCTGGACGGAGTCTGCAATGCGCTGGACAACATGGAGGCAACAAGCATTTGGGTCAGACCTCCGTGTAATTGTTAAAACAATCGCCGATGTATGATCCTCGCAGAGAACCTGCAGTAGTGCAGGCAGCAAACAACACGAACTTTAAGATGAAAGCTTCACGTCTTAAGTGGGAGAGTCGTCCCAAAAAAGCTCTGTCTGATTTCCTCCTGAGTCCAGCTTTTTGATTCAGTCTCTACTTCAGTCGGAACGCTGGGATTCGGAGGGACCCGGGGTGTAGGCGCCGCGAAAACCCATACACGCTGAAGCCTACAACCCGAAACTCTAAACAGGCCCGGTTCTACGTGGACGATCAGTGCGTCAAGTACGAGAAGCCTCTCTTGGAGAGCGGCTGCTTGGCCGAGCAGAGACAGATCAAACGTGGATTCTCTTGTTCTTGGTTTCTTGCTTTTCTAGTTAAAACGTAATTCTAGCAACGCAGGCTGGTCAGTAGCTATAACATACTGTGGGTCGAAGACTGTGGGTCGAAGACTGTAGGTCGAAGACAGAAAAAATGTCGGAGAGATCGATTGATAGTTAGGGCAGCTGTCCAGACTTGCAGACTTGTGTACTCCACGACAGTCCTAGAATGTCGAACGCCATGACAGTTGATATACGTCAGGGACAATGGGGCCAGCTGGCAACGTCGACCCTGTGGTCCCCTTCAAGACGCAGACGTGCGCTTTCTGTGTGGGGATGAGCTGCGACTGCACGAATGAGAACAACTGCGCGTCAGGTACAAAGATGGTGGACAAGCTGATGAAGGTGGAGGTATCCCCATGTAGCTGCCCCAGACGAGAGTGTGCAGTGGTAGCGCACAGCGATCCTCATTGACTGAAGTGCTTTCGTGGGTAAAGCTCCCTCCGTCGCGCGGCTTTCCTAGTCTTGAGCAACTTTGGTACAGGCTGCGTAGCGCACAGCACCCGAGGTGCACATTGCGGAACTTCCCGCATTTGCCCGACCACTGCATCGAATGGGTGCGCTCACTGAATTCTGGGCTGGCCGTCGACAGGGCTGCAAGTGCAAGCTGCAGTCAGAATTGTTGAGCTGGTTTTCTGCTCGAATATGTCCTAGTTTGTGCCGAATGAAAGAGATCGTGTCTTTCACCTGGAGCGAACAATCCATGGGGCCCGGGGAGCGGTTGGGTCCGTCCTTCCGAGTGTAAAGGGCCATGGTCGTCGACACCGTCGCGCCAGGCCAGAGACCAGTTTGAGCTCTTCTTCGTGAAGTCCGTCAAGCAGCTCAAGAAGTTTCATGAGGAGCACTCGAACATCCCAAACCCACGATTCCCCCAGGCAACAGTTATGGAGTGAAGTACGTGAAGCCCTTCTAATGGAAGCATGGCAATCACAGAGGACCCGACGGCCTTCATTTCGGAGATTGGCACCAGCACAGATTTGACCCAGTCCATCTTCGAGGTGCAGCTGCATGCTTGTAGAGACCGGCGTGACTACTAGTGTTGTTAGAGGGTACGAGGAAGATTTAGATTGGAAGTAGATGGCAAGAAAAATCGGAGAGTAGAGGTCCAGCCTTGCCTCGGCCTATCTATTGTCCGAGGCTCGAACCTTGCACCACCAACTCAAATTGCTCGAGACTTGCCGACCATGCCTTAGTCCTTCAGGACAGCTTATGAAACGTCGTGCTCCTGAGCCAACTCCTATCAACCAAGCCACCTAAACCCCTGAGGCAAAAAACACCAAGCCACCAAAAGCCCAGAAGATTGCACGCGAAACCCTGAACTTCGGGAGGTTCGGGGCCTCCTGTCGCTGCTGACCTCCGCATCAGCGCCCAGCATACGCAGCGCTGGCCAGAGCGCTTTCGGCCGGGCCAAGGGTGGTAGTTTTGTGATTGCTAGTTAGCGTTTTTTATCTTATTAGTACTACTACTACCAGTACTAGTACTAGTACTAGTACTAGTACTAGTACTAGTACTAGTACTAGTACTAGTACTAGTACTAGTACTAGTACTACTACTACTACTACTACTACTACTACTACTACTACTACTACTACCACTACCACTACTACTACTACTACTACTACTACTACTACTACTACTACTACTACTACTGCTGCTGCTGCTGCTGCTACTACTACTACTACTACTACTACCAGTATGTTACTATTTTTTAAATTTTGTCTACATCGATTACTGTTGCTGTCAAGGGCTGTTTCAGCCGTTGCATAAGGGTTTGATAGGCTGCTATGTCGGCTTATACGGGAGATTCCAAGACTATCAGGGGTATCGTACGTACTAAGGATCTGGTTGAAGTTTATCCAGGGTCCGTTATCATATCCAGAAAGTAAGGTTTGTGCTGGGGATTTGCAGATTTTGGTGGTTTTGAAGCTTCATGCGAGCCTCCGGGGCGCCTGTACGCAGTAGGAGCAGCAGGAGCATGCTCGATTTCTACAAAATCATGTCAGTATAATGCATGTACCATATCAAGCGTATATCTTAACAGTGCAGGCGGCACCGTACCTATGATCATCATATGTACCATATCAAACGTGCTCATAAGCTGATCTCTGTGCAGATTTCTTCCACCTCCTCTTCCGGGATAAGATCCTGGATCTCACTGCGGCCTTTCCGGCAACTGCCCGGATCATCGACCCCGACACGAAGCAGGCGATAAGCCACCTTGCTTTAGGGGGCGTTGTATCGGGCGTTACGGGGTTTCTGCAGTGTTTGTACGGGTTTTGCTAATAGAGACTCTCACCTGCATTGGACTTAATCTCTTGGAGTGCACTGCTGGAATGACTAGAATAACCACTGGCTGGTGTCAACGATCTAGAAGATTGGTGAATATCACTACTTTACGTCGATGTAAGCCTAAAGGCAAGCATCCCGCAAGCTACCAATACAATTTTAAGCCCTAAAGCTGCTACAGAATAGAGCTTACACGACCACTGCATCACCGAAGCCAAGCTGCAGAAGGCCAAACCTCTAGGATTAGACATGTTCCCTGAAATCCCTCATGCCAGATTCCAACTCACGACCCCTGCCCCGACCCCTGAAGGACAAGGGTGCCTTCTGGTCTGGTCACAAGAGGCCCGTGGTTTCGAGTTCGATGCAGAAGGCTTAAGGGCTTTTGTTGCGAACTTGATGCGAGTTACCAAAGCAGGGGAAGTCTGGTAGTTCCTCTATATTAGATCCCTGCTATATGTCAGCTGAGGCACTGAGTTCCCTAACAAAACCCACGCTGAAATCTGTTTTGCTCAGCCTGTTGGGCACAACCGATTCGTCAAGGTGCTCGGTGTAACGAGGTTTTAGCTTTCTGTGTGTTCTTGGCAGCTGCTGTAACCTGGACATCGTGCTGCTCAGATCAACAAGACTTTTTCATCCGTGAACTCCAGCTCAACTGAAAGACTCAGATTCCGGGCAGAAGAAGCGGTCAGTACAGGATTTCCTGGAACATAGCAAAGACAAGCGAAACATCCGCAACCATAAAATGGTAATATAATGATACTGGTAGCTATGTGTGAGTGTGTTTCTTTCTTGTCCTTCATGGCTTGGGAGGTTTCCGCAGGCCACAACTTACGACCCCGAGAATGAGACGCACTGGCGATTTCTGGCGCCTTGCATTCGAAAGGTAGAGAAGACGAGCCCAACACTTGCATTGTAGTACCTATACGTATGCATGTAAAGAATACATAGCATACACGTATACACAGACGCCTACACGTACTACACCTTTTCCAATGCCTACAACTACATATACACATATGCATGTACATACTCATAGAAATACATGCACGCATACATGCAGGCACGCATCAATGCAGCCTTGTGTGTAGGCAGGCAGGCAAGCACAGTTTCAACAGAAGCCAACCTGCACAAGCGTTCACTGATTCACACTGGAGCAGTCCAGGTCTCGGCCACCGCACTTTTTGCGGCCATGTTGGGTGCAGTTCCCGTGAAGGCGGAGGGTGACAACACCTGGTGCCAGGCACCGGGTTTTTTGGAGGGATTTGACAGGCTTCAAGGGTTTCATGATGAGGGATCTGAGGGGTGTTCGGGTTCTGTGACCTTGAACAGGTCGGGGTACCAGCCCTGGAAGCTTCATGGTGTCCATGAAAGCCGCAACAGTGCAAGTTCGAACGGCTGGCTTTCAACGCCGTGGGGTTTCATCCACGCTGCGTAACTAGCCGCAAGAATTCGCACTGCAATCCCGGGTTGAAAGTGGAGAAATACCAATTCCCAACATGAACCACAGCTCGATGCTCAAATGCCTCCACAAGAACCCCAAACTGCACAGGTGCCGCAAGCATAACTAGACTCCCAAATGAGTCTCGAGAGGACATGCGCTCGAAGGGTTGGGCCGCCAGCTTGTCCAAGGCCGATGTTCAGTCCAACAGATGAGATGCACTGTGAGCTTTCTGGCAGATGTGAAAATGAAGCCTAAACTCCTGCACCCTAAACCCTACATAGAGGGATGACACTTCAGTTAAACTTTGGGCTTGCGTAACGCCGTTTATGCTGTAAAATCAGTGTGTGGAGAACCACCCCCGCAACTCTGAACCCTTTGAACCCCGAGACGACCCTAAGCCCCCAAACCTCAAGCTTTGGGAAGCTTCCCTGACATCTCAAGAGGCATTAATTCCAAGCTCTAGCCGGAAGTCTTTCGACTCCCTGGCCCTCCGTGTATTTCAGAGTGTTGTATATCATCTTATAGTGTATTATGTTGTAGTATATCACCAAGTATTTTAAAGCATAGTATAGTATACCAGCAAGTGTAGTATACTATATGATATTATGGTATATGATATTGCCGTGAGCTCGTCAGGATTTAGTGGTGCCCCAGTATGTCGCGGGCGGTGTCAACATGGACGGCCTGGGGCCCGGAGGGGCCTTTGCTTTCTGAAAGAAGTTAAAAACGGAAGCACATTCCGTTGTCCTACCATAGTATCTCTTGTATAAGTATATAGCCAGTGTAGGGGGCCATACGACTTCGGCTTTTTTGCGCTATCTGGGTGCAGTGACATTTTAGACAATACACATACTATCAGTACTGTAGCGACGATATAGGGGGGTGGGTGGACTATCTCAGTCGTAAGAGCATGGCTCGAAACAGGACTAACAGCAGCAGGGGACTCCTAGGCTTAGGGGGCCGGCAGATAGCCGGCACTTCAGTGGGGTGCTTTCTTGTTTCGCTTTCCGACTTTTCGAGCCTGGGAGGCTCGGATGGCTTGGAGTTACGTGCAAAAGAGGAAATCTACATGTCTCCTATATACTACTATATACTATGTAGTATACTATGCTATACCTATACTAATACTCTACTACGTTCCGTAGCTTCGGACTTCGGACTGACCCGAAGGTGACACCACGGCCGGCGACGTCACAGCTGGGGCGAAATCTGACTCCAAGGCTCGAAGACGGCTTGGTCTTCTGAGAAGTACGATAGGGGCCGAAATGCTTTAGGGGGTTCCCTATGTATAACTAAACATAACTAAACTATAGTAGAATGGGCCCCCAAAACACTATTCCAATCATTGAAGTCCCTACATTACAACGGCGGGTTCAGGATACATGTTTGTAGGGCTTATCGTTGTAGTCTCATAAGGCCTTTCGCTCAAGATCTTCTAGTTTCATAGGGTTACTAGCATGTTCAGGGCTTGGGCTTAGGAACTTTTGGGTTGTTGAATAAAGTTGGCAAAGTGGAGTCGTGCATGGAAGAGCTCGTATTAGTATCTTACATGCAAACATTTACATGAACAAATAAATCCATAAGTACATAAATGCATAGATAACTAAATATGTATTTATCTATGTGTATATGCATATATACAGTACATATACAGTGCAGATACGTCTATGCCAGTCTAGATGATGTATGTTTGCATCCATACCCGCATCAGCTATGGACTGGAGACCCCCGAGTTCTCCTCCCTTTCATGGCAGCTTTACAGTTCTGGATCCGGATCGCTTTAGAACCAGGAAATGTACCAAGGAAGAGAGCTCATGCATGAAGAGACACCGACGGTTCAGCATGAAAGAGCAAGCGCATCTTGGTTCAGAGCCTGTCTGACGACGAGCTCTAGACTACATGTTGTGCATATATATATATATATATATGTATAAGTGGATATATCACACATATGTGGCAAAGCCTAAACTGCCTAAACCCTAAACTAAACCCAGACTGGCAGGCCATCCTGGCTGGGCTCCTGCAGCAGTTGGAGGCTGGCCGGTCACGGTTGCCTGTTGAGGCTTCTACTAGCATATTATAGCGTACTGCGGCAAACTACAGTATGTGATGCTACGAACAGGTGGGGTTGCAAGGTTTCGGGAACAGGGCTGTTGTGCAAGCTCCAGTGGCTTTCGCCTTCTTTGTATGTGCGGAGTTGGTATTACAGAAGTGTTGGCCTGAGTCGTGATTTCTTCTGCCTAGTTGAAGCCCCACCAGTGTCAGCCCAGCACCAACTCCACACGTGCAGCCGCAGAGATGCCACAAGAGCAAACAGAACTACGCAACCTTACAGTCCAACTCCCGAAGCCTCGGTCCCTCAGCTCACACCAACACAAACTCCAAGAGTCTTTTAATAAGGATTGAGGGTTTTCCACCGTGCCTGTTGAGCCGCATTTGAGGCTTTCAAAGACAAGCCGCTGCCGGCCCTCGAGGAGGCAGATTTCGAGAAGGCGCGACACGAGGTTTTTTTCCGACTTTTCGGGGGCTTGGGGTATTATTATTTTTTGTTGTGGGTGTTATGGCATGAGAAATCTTGGGCATTGCAGCGTTCAGCCTCGTTTACTGTAGGGTTTGAGGCTTTTGGCATTTCAGGAGGTAGTGGCTTTTCGTCTTTCAGGGCCTGTAAGGGTGTGAGGTCTTATGGCCTTATGCTTTCAGGAATTGGGGCTTGAGGGTTCCAAGGGTTCTTGTTCTTGGGGTGGATCCTTTCTCAGAGTCCGTACGAAAGGATACTGTCATTCAGGCTCAAGGATACTTAAGGCCTAAACTACTGCCTTCAATGCGAAAGCTCTGTCTGGTTCAGCACTTGATAGCCGAAGAAAAATCAAGGATCCATACGGCCCTTCTATTCTCCGACGCTGGAGGACGACGACTTCAACTTTCACATCGAGTTCATCACCCGCTGCGCGAATCTCCGTGCAGACAACTACCACATTGCCAATTCGGATTTTCACAAGGCAGGGTTCGCCGGTGTTCTGTAAGCTTGCGTTGTCGGCGGGGGCTGGTTCATCAACCAAACTCATTCCACAACTACGGAGGGTTTGAGGACTGAGGAAGCACAGCAATCCCATGATCGCGAAGGTCAAACTAGTGGCTGGACGCATCGTCCCTGCCATCGCCACCACCACTGCAGCCGTCTGTGGATTAGCCAGCAGCTTACTGCAGAATCGCGAAGAAGCCTGAGTCCAGGTCGGGAAGGGTATACAGACCTTTTCTCAGGGATTGACAAGGGTCGCAGTGCTCCGGGTTGACCACAGTGAGATGGCGAGACGAGTTTTGGGGTTTGCGCGGGAGCTGACAAGAAACTGCACGCTGGTTGATGTGCTGCAGCCACCGAAGCATGCGAAAGCAAAGGCCATACGTCATCACCGGAGCACATGTGCAGTCTGTGAAGCATGCAAGCTGCTTTGTACATCCTCAGCATCCGTTGAAGGAAGAAGGATCACATGCCGCAGCACAGGTACCTGTGACAACAGAGGCCCGAGATTCATTCAAGGGTCGGCTTTCGAAGCCATGCACCGTTTCATGTCCCCCTTTCGCCGCAAGCAGCCGGCAGCCGGTGCTGCTCCTTCTTCAGCGACGGAAGCATGGCCCCAGAAGAGCCGAGGGATATAGCTTTAGCCTAGGGCCTAAGGACTATCGGCTGCATAGCAATTGACGCAGCATGCCTCCGCTCAGCTGCACCATGCTGCCACTTTCACTGCCATCTAACAACAATCATATGATGCCCCCGAGTTTATGCAAACTGACAAGGCTCCGAGCTCTACCACAGTGAAGTCTGAGTGCCACAAACCTGTAAGCCTTTTGGAGGGCCCGAGAAAATGCCCGTACATGTCTCTTATATGCAATTACATAGACTGTACTGTATTCTATAATTATATGTATATATGCATATATAAACAGTATGTGTGTGTAAGCACACCTACTTGCATTCCATTTGCATACAGAGGGTAGATGCATGCAATCACGCTGTCCGTAAATTGCATGTTCCAGAGTGCCTGTGATCTTCTGAAGACGCTCTCTCTCTCTCTCTCTCTCTCTCTCTCTGCCCCTCTCTCTCTCTCTCTCTCGCTCGCTCTCCCTCTCTCTCTCTCTATCTCACTCGCTCTCTGTCACTCGCTCTCCCTGACCCAAAACCCTCATAGCCTCCAGGCCTAAGGCCCCAGACCCTCAGCGCCACACATCACAACAGGTCTCAGCCACTACGTGGAGGTTCATGGGCCCTCATTAGGGGACTTATAACCCTACTTCGCCCTGCTTATAACTACCCATAGGCCCCATAGTACTAGTAGCTCCCTTGTGGGATTACCTTATAGAATTCTAAATATCAACCCCAAAAAGGAACTACTTTGGGGCCTTTGGGTACGCATGAACCTCCAAGTGACCCTCCGAGGACGTGGGCTCCCTGGAAACTCTGGAGGCCGAAGCCCGGGAGGCCGAGGCCGCCGAGAAGAGGGCGGCCGAGGAAGCCAAGGAGGCGCTGAGACTTAAAAAAAAAGGGTGCCTTATAGTGAATTTTTTAAAAAAACAATTTAATATAGGGGTGCCTTATAGTAAAATTTTTTAAAAAAACAATCTTATATAATGTGTGGTTCCTTTAGATTTTAAAGGGGTCTATAAAGGTTACCATAAGGGCTATTATAAGAATTGAGTATAAGGGCCTGAATAATTATCATTATTACAGTTATAGCACAATGGGCCCCAAAACCCTAATATGATTCTAGTTAATAAGGCCCTTATATTAGACGGTTTTTGTTTGTGGAAGAAATGGACCCTGTGTTGCCGGGGCCTTTCTTGTCTGGGTGGGTTTGTAGTCCATGTGCCTCAAGGGACACGGTTGTCACCGCTTGGATATTAACGCGGAGCAGGATCTGAGTCTTAGCGGGATAGTGATAAATTCTCAGAGGATTTTTGAATAGAAGCGGCATGCAAATATTGTCTAGTGTCCAAGTTCCAGTAGAAGTCTCACTACCGATACGGCATGTTGGTTGCTGGGCTACCTGAGACGATGATGCTTTGAACTCGTAGCTCCCTGAAGAAGATTCAAAATTCTGGCCTACCCCATGGATCCAAGTCCACTCCGTCTGTGAGTGTCTGTGTCTCTCTCTCTCTCTCTCTCTCTCTCTCTCTCTCTCTCTCTCTCTCTCTCTCTCTCTCTCTCTCTCTCTCTCTCTCTCTCTCTCTCTCTCTCTCTCTCTCTCTCTCTCTCTCTCTCTCTCTCTCTCTCTCTCTCCCTGTATTATATACAAACATAAATAGATAAACAAACATATAGATATATACATATTTGTATATATAATACACATACATATATATATATATATATATATATATATATTTGTATTTATATTTATTTTTATTTTTTATTTTTGTTTTATTTGTATTTTTTTTATTTTCATTTTTATTTTTATATTTATATTTATATTTATATTTATATGTATGTGTGCGCATATATATATATATATATATCAGCATAACGTCAGAGTCCTCCCTGCATCCTGATGCAGGCCAAGGATGCTGCTCGTAGACTGGAGGATGCCGTCAGCCTGGCAGAGGAGTGCCGGGTTTTGACGATTCGGGCGTGTAAACGCTAAGCCCCAGACCCCGAAAGCCCGAGTTGAGGATTTGTAGTCTAAACATTGTGCTTTTCGTTTAGGGTGTGTGTGTGTGTGTGTGCGTGTGGGGGGGTTCAGGATGTGTCCCGCGAATCCCTCGTATGAAGCTCTTGCCATAGCTACTATAAAACTCCTGAAGCTCTTAGCAAAACCTCTGCAACCCTTCGAAAACCCTTGTTTGCAAGCCCAATGACACCCTGGTTAAACCTTGTCAAACCAAGTGTTACACCCCATGACGCCCCTGTTGAAGCTCCTATTCAATCCTTTATGTAGTGTGGAAAACCCCTAGTCTTGTGAGCCCTTCAACCGATTCGAGACCCCTCTTTATATGCTTGCAGTTGCCTGTGGTCAGGGGTTATCCCTTGCGCGCAAAGCCTCTACTCCCTAACGTCAAACACTCCCCCACCTAAAGCTGCAGCCTCATTCTGAAGTCCGAAACTCTACATGCCCACCAGGCTGCGTAGGCTGTACCCATCCGCCTGGACTCAAGACTACCCGGCGGCCCCCAACTTCACTTGCTCTGACGCGTCCTTGTTTCCAGAAGCCCCAAACCTGCCAAAGCGTTTTCGACAACCGCTTGCCCACCTTCTCCTGTCCTCTCGACAAGCAGGCAACAGGCCGAAACCAGAAAATCAAGCTGGAGATGAGAGTGGATCCCGGGGCGCGCAAAGGGTGGGGATAGTTGAACAGCGCACCAAGTCCTGTTGACCTCTAAACGTTCGCTCTTCTGCTTGGGGCGCCATTTCCACATGATAAAACTGGTGCCACACCAGAATTCAGAGCGGTATGCTTTGAGCCCGATACACCCTATAAACCCCACGAGCCCTGGAAGCCCTACAGCCCTTGAGACTTGAGCCCTAATGAGAGGAGCGGTTGCGCGCCACCGGCCCTGCTTCAGCCGCACGCGGCGAGGAGCTGAAAGGGGAGCTGAGGCGCCTTGGCTGCGCAGATTTGGTGTACTGGTGGTTACAGCATGAGGGCTTCGAACTGCTCACAGGGTTTGTGAGGGATTGCAAGGGTTTTGGAAGAGTTTACAAGGTTTAGGACTGTTTTTTATAGCTTAGGGTTGCGCATTTTGGGTTCGGGGCCAGTCTTAGGGCTTACAAATTTAGGTTTCAGATTTGTTCGGTTTAGGGTTTGTGCATGTCGGGTTTGGCTTTCATGTATTTTGGACTTCTCGACAAATCGGCTCAACGCTCAAGAACATGGGCTCTCTCACGTGCGCACATCTTGATCCATGAAGAACCTTGATATAGACCCCCAAAAGGAAGGCAACAACATCCCAACATCTTGCAACCTTGAAGCCTTGAGCCTTTCGGAGCTTGCTCTGTCGAACCTAGGGACATGGAGGCAGAAGCGGAGGCGCTGCGGGCGCAGGACACTGGGGTGTCGGAGACCCTTGAATGTACCGGGAGCCCTTTAGTAAGGCACCCTTCGTACGAAAGCCGTGTAGACTGCTCCTGGAGCTCAACCGGAAGCCTCGCAGCCCGTCAGCACGTTCCTCAACTCTTGGATCCCGGTAAAGCCAAAAGAATGGTGAGCGCTGCTGTGACTCAGTCAGGTTTCGGGTATAGGTGTAGATCGACAGACGGACAGCCAAAGAAAGTAGATACAGCTATAGATACAGATTCAGATAGCTCTGTTGACTTAAGGTGTATGTGTATGTTTATACAGTTGTGTGTATGTACATGTGTATATATGTGCATACACTACATATCACATTTTCAGTAGTCTTATAGAACATACATATGACTATGTGTATGTACATATACAGATACAGATACATATATATATATACACACACATATATATACTTATTCCATTTCGTTTGACCATACATACCTGAATATGCACATACATACAGAAAGAGAGGTGAGAGAGAGAGAGAGAGAGACAGACAGACAGAGATGCTAGTTTTGTACAACTCCCTCCGCCTAAAACTCCCTACCGACAGTAAGACCCCCGGTTCATCCTAAAGCCCAACAACAGTAGACAACAAAACCCAGTAAGACTTCAAAGTCTAGCATCCCGAAACCCTAAAGCCCCATCCGTGCTCCTAGGACAAAACGTCCGCCCTGCGGCTATCCGCGCTGCGCCAGGCGATGCCGGCAGAAGATCTGCCGCGTCTCCGAGGCCGTCATGGGCTTTGGTGGGCCATGCAGGGGGTGAGTTTTGTGGGTTCAGGGCTTTCGGGATGTTTAGGGCTTGAGGTTTTCTTGTGGATTTGGGCTCCTTGAGCATGTTTTTTTCCGCTGTCGTGTTGAGAGGAGCCGTGTTGATGGAAGAGTTGCAAATAGAGACTGCGCCAAACACAGCATTAGCAACAGAATAGCCGGACTAACGAAGATGTGTGAGGTCAGGACCTCAAGGGTGCTGCACTGTCTCAACTTTCGGGTGGTACTCCTCGGGCTTTTAAAATGTGGTCAGGGAAGATGCTGTGTGTGCAGCTAATTAAGGCCTCTTCTTGTGCAAGGTTTCGCTAGAAGGAACAAGAAGCCTAGACCCAAATCCCATGCGCCCCGAAAGCCCAAAGCCCGAGACCCCCCATGGCCAAAGGGCAGGAGGAGGCGGTGCGGGCCGAGACACAAGAGGCTGCAAATCTCCTCGCCGAGCTTCGAGCTCAGGTGCCGGGGCGTGCTGTGGTGCGTGGTGAACTCTGAGTGTTGAATTGTCGTTCTGGTAGTTGTGGTTTGGGCGTGGTGGTTGCTTTTTGGTCAGGGCATTTTGAGACAAGTCCCTCAAGTCTAAATGCTGGTCCAGGAGTCGGCTACTTCATTGCGTGTGGCTGCATTGCGCACATCCGTGGATGAGCTTCGTGCTTGCCAGGAGTGGGCATGGCATCGCTCATCACCTGTGCTTCCCTTTAGCTAGAGAGAGAGAGAGAGAGAGAGAGAGAGAGAGAGAGAGAGAAAGAGAGAGCCATCTAGCGAAGTAGATCAGTGCTAGGTCGGTAGTTAGGTAACTGATAGGTAGATAGGTAGCTAGGTAGCTAGACAGGTAGGTAGATAGGTAGGTATGTAGGTAGACAGACAGACACAGAGACAGACAGGCAGATACACCCATCCATCCGCCCATCCATCTATCCACCAATCCATATATGCATCTGCATGTACAGCATGCATTTGTATACAGAAATCAACAAAGCACGAGCAAGTAAGTAAATAAATCAACAACAGAGACATGTAAATGTGCACACACATATGGATGTACATATATATATATATATATATATATACATTGGGTATACATATATATATATATATATATATATATATATATATATATATGTATACATACATGTATTTCCAGCATTGTTTATATACATGTATGTGTACATATAAAAATGTGCGTGGTATGTATGTGTGTGTGTATTCATATTCGGATGCTTGCTCCGTTTCCGCAATCGGTATCCCGCTAGCATCGGACCCTTAGGGGTAACCCCGCTCCCCCTTACCCCCCTGAGGGTCCCTATGGCCCTATATATCCTGGACCCCTGAATCCTAAAGCCTCAACCCTAAGACCCCTAAGCCCTAAACCCTCAACCCTAAGCCCTAAATCCTACCTAAACCCTAAACCCTGAAACCTAAGGCCTAAATCCTAAACCCTAGCAGGAGTCTGCGGCCTCCGAGGCCTCGCAGTTGGAGGCCGCTCTGTGTGCCGAGGTCGAGGCCTCCCGTGGAGGGTCTCATGAACTAGAACACGGTTTGGGGGGTATCGTATAGTGTGTTACATCCTGTGTATGTGTATATATATATATATATGTATATATCTACACATACATATATGCATGCATGCATGCATGCATGCATTCATGCATACACACATACACACATACACACATATATATATATATATATGTACAATACATGTACATAGAGATATATATGTATGTGCGTATGTATATGTATATGTATATGTATATGCATATGTATATGCATATGTATATGCATATGTATATGTATATGTATATGTATATGTATATGTATATGTATATGTATATGTATATATACATATAAACATATGCATATATAAAAATATATATCCTCTCTCTCGCCGAGCTTTTATACCTTGATAGTTTAAAATAATGATATGTCGTTTGCTAAATGGTTCGTAGTGCAACTTGCTCGCAGTTGTCGCGCAGTAGCAGTGAATAGTTAGAAGCAGAGGTCGTGGTGGTGGTGGTGGTGGTGGTGGTGGTGGTGGTGGTGGTGGTGGTGGTGGTGGTGGTGGTGGTGGGAGGAGGAGTAGCAGTAGCAGTAGCAGCAGGAGTAGTGGTAGTAGTTTGCTCAACAGCCGAAGGGACTTTCTCCTATGGCAACTGCGAGTCTTGCTCTCCAGCAGGTTCTCAGTGATGGCGACGAGGTCGAGGAGTTGAGCCTTTCGGAGGCACGACGGGTGCCGGTTTTGGGATCCATCTTGCGAGCTTCAAAGAGGCCCACCGCAAAGCCGTGTGCTAGAATTTCCCATCATCATTGCAGAGAATGATGCTGCACCTTCTTCCCTTCTTCAGAACCTGCTGTTGGGTGGTTCTGTGCCAGAAACTTGCGAGGCTGACCCAGGCTTTGGGTTGTTTAACCCCGACGCATTCCACTATTCAGACTGACCGTTCCGGTTTGCCCTGAGCCACAGATGGCTTGATGCAGGCGGAAGGCGACCCCAGCATGAACGCGAGTGCCCTGCAAGAAGCCTGGCAGTTGGAGGACGAGCTTCGAGAGGCCAAGGAAGAGCTGAGGCGGCTGCGCCTGCGCTGCGATCATGGCTTGGTGGAGCGGAAGCCCATGCAGGCATACTGGACCTCGCCGGCTGCCACCCGCCCACCTGAAATGCATGGGCCCATGCAGGAGCCTTTCAACCTGAACCCTCCATCGATGGCGGAGAAGCGCCATGATTCATTGCTGCAGGCTGCACAGAGTTTGGTCTCTTCCACGCACGCCCCGGACTGCACAGCCCTTTCCGAACGCTTGGTTGCGGAAAACCGCCGCTTGGAGTCTGAGATGCACGAGCTCCAGGAATTTCTCGAGGCCCAGAGCGAGGATGCGGGGTCGATATGGGTCGATGACCCCTTCAAACTTTTCACGTTTTTGTTTCAGAACTCTTCTGTTTGGCTTCGAAGGCTTGCAGAGTGTACGCCTTTGTCTGTGTGTGTGTGTCTGAATCCATGATACTATCAGTCCTTGAAGGCCCAGCCACTGAACTCCGGCGGAAACTGGGACTCGCGGCAGCCGCTGGCTGGTGCTGTGCACGAGTCACACAGCAAGCTGCGGAGCTCCATGCAGCAGCAGCTGCAAAGCTCGCAGGACGCTCTTCAACACCTGCGCCAGGCCAGGCCTACACACCGCGCATGATTGGATTGATGATCGCTTGCACATTTTGCCCACGATCCTTCTGTATGACTGTATGATCTTCTTGGCAGAGTAGTCTACGACCAATGCGGTCCCAAGTTTACGACCAGGGCACGTCTGCAGCTGTTGGTAGCCTGTTGGTGCAGCGCTGCTATTGCTGCAAACTGCTGTAGCAATAGCACCAGCAGTAGCAAGAGTGGGAGTAACGGTAGCAGTGCCGGTCGTCATCTTCGTCGTCGTCGTCGTAGTAGTAGTAGTAGTAGTAGTAGTGGTAGAGCCAGCACTAGAAGTAGCAGTAGCAGTAGTAGCGGGACAGTACATCCACGACTACGACGACTACCATTACAGTGCATCTGCTGGATAAGAAATGCCAGCTCCCAGCGCTGGGTACCCGCAATTTCTTAACATCCTTGTAGTTTCACATTTCCGCATGTCCCCAGCTCCCGAATCGTTGGGTAACCTTTCTTTCTTGATCAGTTCTTAGCCGGCTAGGCACTGAGTCAATTGCTTGACGCAGTAGCCCGGACAGACACCGCCACGACAGTGTTCTTTTGCACTTCAGTGTCCTGTGTCCTAGGCTTTAGGCTTGGCAACCGCGAAAATCAGACACGCACCCTTTTGGCCTCTGCCTTGTGTCCTAGGCTTAGGGCTTGGTTCCCCCCTACATGTCTCATTTTGGCTTCTGCCCTTGTTGCTCCAGGCTCAGGGCTTGGTGCTGCTACTACTGCTGCTACTACTACTACTGCTACTGCTACGCGACGTAACCACGAACACCAATGACCCATCACGTGCTCATAGCTGGTTCGATCGGTCGAGAGTTAACAGTATGAGTGGCAGAGCACCGAGTATCACCTGTTACCGTCCGTTGGGATAATGTATGTGTATATATATATATATATATGTATGTATGTATGTATGTATGTACGTATGTATGTATGTATGTTTGTTATATATATATATATATATATATATGTGTGTGTGTGTGCACATATTTTTGGTCAGTCACACTTGACAGTCCTCGGTTCCTCCCCGCTGCGCAGGGCATTGCCGAGGCAGAGGCACGGCTCCAAGCCGAGCGAAGGAAGCGGCGCGCATGTGCACGGGAGCTGCAAAAGGCACATGAAGAGAAAAGGAGCTTGAAGAAAAAGTGTTTAGGGTTTAGGGGTAGTACTCCTGTAGTAGCAGCAATAGTAGTAGTAGTAGTAGTAGTAGTAGTAGTAGTAGTAGTAGTAGTAGTAGTAGTAGCAGTAGTAGTAGTAGTAGTAGTAGTAGTAGCAGTAGTAGTAGGATCAGCAAGATTCTTTTGAGGGGGTGCAGGGTGCTTGAGACTGCAGGCTCGGGGTCTTGGGCCGAGGCATAGTTTAAAAGTTTAAGGCATGCTGCCGCGTCGCTATTTTGCAGCTTGCAGAAAGGTGGATACCCAAGTACATCTCGTGGCTAGCGAAGCACCAGCAGGTGCTGTGAGCTGTGTGGCATGCCGTTGTTGTCGGTTAAGTCTTGCATCCTTGCAGATGTTTCACACTTGTTCAGCCCGGCCCTTTCCTTTGCTTGGTTTTGAGGCCCAGAAACCATATAGGTAGCATCCAGAAGCAAGCCAAGGTCATGCTTGAGCTTTTCAAGCTCCTCCTGGGCAAGGGCACAGAGGGCTTCCGCACCCGGCAGGTGAGCCGGGACGAAGATAAGATCATCGGATTTGCATGGAGTGGCTGTTCTGCCGTGACCGGTTCTCTGGCGTCTTTTTTTGCCTGTGGGTGTTGGTTCCGGCGTTTGTTTGGAAACATGCATGATCGCCCGGCTGCACCAGAGGCAATCTGACGGCATCTGCAGCCTCTGAAGGTTGATCCAAGCGGTGGTAACGGCACAGGGTGCATGAGAGCTATAAGCACCTTGCACAAGCAAATAACGCTACGGTGCAAAGCAGTCCCAGGAACGTAGGACAGGGCAGCAGTGATGGAACCGCAACGGGCAGATGACCCCTAGAAAGAAGAAAAACAGGGGTCAAAATCCAGAAACGGGTAGGCTCTGCAGGGTCCAGGTGACAGTTTGTTTTGCAGTTTTTGTCTGGGAGGTTGGTCTCGCCGTCAACACCTACACCTCTTTTGAAGCCCAGGACCGGCTCTCTGCCAGTGATACAGGCCTTTGAGATGATCGATACCTAAAGTTGCTGAATGAATGAATTCAGAAAGTGACTCGAATGATATTGTAGAGTTATCCATAGAAGCAATCGCAACGGCAAATGACAAGAGCAATAAACAGTAAACTGACAGCAACAACTCAGGAATTGTCCACCCAAACAGTAGTACTTTTTTCCTGAAGCAACCAATGGGGGGCCGCTTCAGGAGCCAAAGACTTTTGCTTCGGGCGTGGAGAAGAAGGTGCCGCGGGCAGGGTGCTCGGGACCTCTACCGGCGTCGGTTTAAGGCTGAGAGTTTGGGGTGTCGGGCTTAGGGCTAGGGGACGATAGGACTCAGAAGGGTTCCTAATCTGTTTAGCGTGATATAACAGCAAGCCAACAACCTGCGTAGCAACCCAGCAGTGTAAACATGAGCACATTAATTAGCACTATCCCTGTTGCCCAGGGCCAATTTGTTGTTGTCGCCTGTTCTGCGGCCAAGGCAGAAGATCTCCCACCGGATGCTTTCGATTCGGCCGGCAAGATCAAGGCCAGCAGGGCTTAGGATGTGTAGGATCTTGGGCTAGCGCTTTGGGGAATTCGGATTGCCACATTTCTTCCAATCCTGCTCCTGAAGCTGCATGCAGTTTACGCCGGACATGGTTTTCTCGGATTGCATCTTGAGTATGAGTACGTATCGGCTTTGGCTTTGGCCGGCTCAACGGCTCGATGCTTGGCAGGCTGTCCACGCAGTCTGTGCCTTTCCGCTTTGCCGCCAGGCTGAGTATGTCGTGGAAGAGGCTTATGCCTCCTATCCCGAGAAGCACAGTGTATGGGCCTCCTGGCGGCAGCCCAGAGAAATGCAACCAGCCAAGCGCATTTCGAAGGCACGGGCGGTAGGACACACCGTAAATCAATTTGCTGTCAGCCTCTTCAACGGAGGTCGTATACCCCGAACACCCACCTGCCTCCCGGTACCTAGCATCCCTGAGCTTCTCAAGTCTCCTTGCAGCTCAGGATAAAATCGTTGTGCCCACCGGCACTATGACTTTAGAGGCAGGATCTTGCATTCGCAAACTGCCTCCATCTGCGAAGAGGTTCACCAGTCGAAGCATTGGTGAAGAAAATCACGACATATCTAAGCTTTGCGTGAAACTGCTTGTTCACCCTATTGGTTTGGCCTTCCAATGCAGCACGGCAATGCCTGCCCCTGACCTGAACAGAACACAAGGGCAGCATGGTCACACCCGTTGGCCAAGCGTCAAGACCGTGGTTGTCATGATCACACGATTGGCATTCCTAGCCTCACCGCTGTTGCGGAAAGAGGCTAGGGTGCGTAGCGGCTGCTCTACCGGAAGGATCAGGGGACTTAGTAAGCAGGCCATGCACGGCGTGAGCAAAAGGATCGTCCAATCAAAGCAGTATGGCCCTGCTATGTAGAATCCTACAAAGTCCTCAAGCAACGCTAAGAAGGGCCTATATCCCGTAAGGCCATAGACACTCAAACCTGTGCACATAGATAGATAACTAGATAGACAGACAGATAGGTACGGGACAGATATAGGTGTAATTAGCTAGATGTAGATAGAGGTATAGAGATAAAGATACAGATATACAAAACGGGACATATAGCTATTGGTATAGATAACAAGTGCTGTAGCTTCAGTATCCCTTTCAGGGTCCCTTTTCTGGTATAAATCTCTGGAGAAAGAGCCATAAAAAAAGTACCCGAAGGCCTTCAAAGCATGGCTGGCCTCCGAGCACAAGCTCCAGCCGGGACCTTGGTGGTTTTCAGGGCCGTGTATTTAGGGTTTAGGTTTAGGGGGTTGGGGTTTAGAGGTTGAGGGTTTAGAGGTTAGAGGTTTAGGGTTTAGGGTTTTAGTAAGATGGAAACAACGGCAAGAGTGATAAGAGTAGAGGAAGAATGGTGGGAATCAGACCGGCCTTCCCACCCTTCTTTCTTCTTTGGTGGTTCTGGGCCTAGAGACCTAGTTCCCAACATGAGAGGATCCATGCTAAGCCTTTTCTCCATATAGGCAGCAGATCAGGTGACCTTGTTCTTGCTTGGGCTTCAGGAAGCCTACCATAATCTGGGATGGGGGAATTGAGCAACTAGGCAACCGTGGCTGTGCGAACGTAGAGCTGAGATACTTCGATGTTACCCGTTACCCAGCGAATGTGACCAGCCGGTACCCTGAAGCTTAGTTCACAGACGGTTCCCCCCCGCATGGTTGTTTGTACATGTTGTCGGGAGTTTCTACCACAGAGTCAGAGGCATGATGTCACGAAAGAATGTTGGGATTCCACTCCCTACTCTGATCCGTGATGCGGTTGCAAGCAACTACAGAACCAGCTCGCAACCCCTGTTCTGTGTTAGGCTTTGATTCGTTTGAGTCAGCCAGGGTTCCGCTGAGTCATTAGATGTCGCCGAAGCCTCTGGAAACCTCATACAGAACACATGTTTGCCATAAAGTACAGGTTACATAACACAGTCAGCAACTGCCGAGATGAGCTAGGGGTCAGCGTGCAGGGTTGAGGCTTGAGTCTGGGACGAGGGGCCGTCGGAGTGCCAGGCGGCGCCTTCTTCAGCAATGCTTCGTGTTTGGAGACCTTCCGGGCAGGAGTTGGCCGCAATAAGTGCAGAAGAACTCACGGATGCAGGTGCTGTGAAGAAGCACTTGTGTGTTTCGTATGGCTTCCCAGTGTATGTGCAGCAACTTCTGCATGGCGACACGCTCTTAACTGACGATGCCAGGCTGGATGGAGATATGGATTTGCAACTGTTGCTGTTGACCGTTTGCAGCCTGTCGCCATGGTTACAAGCTGCTGCTGCAAGAGATCTGGCGACTGCTGCTGCAGAGAATCACATTGCCATGGTCCGATGCTTGCTGGAAGTTGGTGCCAAAGATGATAAGGATGGCCTAGAGCTGCATGGCAAGACAGCCCTAATGCTCGCGTCTGGGAAGGGTCACTTGGAAGTGGCACGTTTGCTAGTGGAAGCTGGTGCTGATGCAAATGGTCAAGATGCAGACGGCCAGACGGCGCCAATGCTCGCAGCAAAAAATGGTCAATTACAGGTGGCACGTTTGCTGGTGGAAGCCACTGCTGATACAAACAGCGTGGACGATGACGGCATGACAGCACTAATGCTCGCATCTGAGAATGGCCACGTAGAAGTCGTATCTTTGCTTGTGGAAGCCGGTGCTGACAAAGATTCAGATGGTGACGCCAGGAAAGCCTTAATTCTGGCATCTGAGAATGGTCACTTGGGAGTTGCACGTTTACTGGTGGAAGCTGGTGTTGATAGAAACAGTGTGGACGATGACTTTTCTGGCCAAACTGCCGTAATGCTCGCAGCTCAAAGTGGTCACTTGGAGATTGTCCGTTTCCTGGCGGAAGGTGGTGCTCAGAAAGACAGCGGGGACGGAAACCGCAAGACGGCCCTAATTCATGCAGTTGAGAAGAGTCACTTAGAAGTGGCACGTTTGCTGGTGCAAGCTGGTGCTGATAAAGATGTCATGGACCTTCACCGTGGCCAGACAGCCCTAATGCTCGCATCTAGGAGTGGTCAATTAGAGATTGCTCGTTTGCTTGTGGACGCTGGTGCCAACAAGGATTGCAGAGACCGGTCCGGAATGACAGCCCTAATGCTCGCATCTCGAGCAGGTCACTTGCAGGTTGCGTGTTTGCTGGCAGAAGCGTGTGCTGAGACAACTTGCCGGGGCCATGACGGCCAGACGGCCTTAATGCTCGCATCCGAGTTTGGTCACCTGCAGGTTGCGCATTTGCTAGTGGAAGCTGCTGCTGATAAAGCTTGCTGGGCGAACGCGGCATGAACGGCCTTGTTCGTATCGGCCCCTACGCAGCGGGTCGTGGGACGTAATATCTGATAAATAAGGTAACTGTACGTATAAGTACTTATAACCGTAATTAGGGTACTTATAACCTGTCTTACTAAGTCCCCTGATCCTCCAAGATACCTTTAACCCCACACTCTTGTTCCCTTATCCCGGGACCCTAAACTAAGCTACTACGTCCTCTAATCCTCCAAGAGATCTTACCCAAAGGGTCCTATGTGCCGATATAGTAGAATGCAGGGTTTCCATATTCGGAACCACTATTATGACTTGGGGAAGTCTCCCCCATAACCGTGCATAGGACCCTTTGGGTAAAGCTCTAAACCCTAAACCCCTAAACCCTAAGATCTTAAAGCTTCAGGCTTCGAACCTGGAGCTTCGTCCTCGGCTGGAAGAAAGTCGTGGACGAGGATCCGCTCTTAAGGTTTGGGAGGTTCAGGATTGTAGGGTTTAGGATGGTTTAGGAGTTTAGGGTTTAGAAGCTTTAGTTTAAAGTTTCGGGGTTTTAGGGTTATACAGTTTCTAGGGTTTCAGCGTTTCTAGGGCTTTTGGGGCTTAGGGTTTGCTCATCTTCTCGGAGCTTTAAGAATGGGCGCTGCAGAAAGGATTTCGAAATTCAGGGATTTTATGGGGCTGTTGGGTTTAGGCTTTCTACGGAGGTTTCCACGGGTACCTTATCCGGGGTCGTCAGATGTAGGAGGGAGGAATAGCAATAGTACATACTTACTAGTACTACAGTACTACTTTAGGGTCAGGCTTCATCATAGGACTCGCCACTAAAGTGGCAGCGCATTGGAACAACCATATCCGACTGTAGCCCGAGAAGTGGAACCTTCAAACACCAAACTATATACAAAGTTCATCGCTTTCCGCAGACGCTTTGACACTCTCGCACACCCGATCCTTGAAGCCATAGTACCGACCACTGACCGACTACAAAGCTTGTGCGACAGGCTCTGCATGGACACAGAGTCACTCTTCAGACCCTGAAGCCAGGAGAACAAGGAGATGCGAGTGCCCGTCTCCTGCCAGATCTACCCTCCTCCTGTTTCGGTGGACGTATCCTTGCTGCCGCCACTGACGGACGCGCAGGCTGCGAGCCTTGGGCCATTCTTGTGTTCATTTTTGTTGAGCGGGGGACCTTCCACAGGAGCAACAGGGACGAGGCAGACTAGAAGGGAATGAGACGGCCAGGGTTGACAGAAAAACCGGGCTGCAAGGCGTCAGCCTGTCCGAAAAAGACTGCGACGGTCTAATGACTAATGCTTTGGGGTTGCCCTCCTGGCTGGCCCCCCTGCCACGCAGCTTTGAGCCAGGGAGACGCCATGAAGAAGATCATGGGTTCAGCGCAGATCCCACAGGCACAGAAAATGAAGTGCCCCTTCCGACGGTGTCAGAGCCTTGAAGGCTGCGAAGTTGGCAAGGAAATAGATTTCACAAATGTCGACACCGACGTGGATGCGAGTTTCTGAGTGCCAGCGGCGGTGCCGACCACGGTGCTGGCGCTGTGTCGCATGATGCTGATGACGATAAAGAAGCTGCGATGATGGCTAGGACTACCTGAATTGTCGTTCTTGTCTTCAGAAATCAGGTCTGATCCATGTTGATCCATACTTCTGGTTGCCACTCACTGCAGGACTGTAGCCGATGAGCCCGGGCATTTGCTCTTTAATCGGGAATTTGGGTCGACGGGCCTGCAGCATACGACCGTGACAGCCTCACAGCACAAGTAACCACTCTGCCAGATTTGCATGGGTGGTCGTCCAAATGATGGTCCCTTTTAAAGTCCCTCAAATAAGACGGCACCTAATATTTAGAGTACCCAAAAAGGGGACCCTAATTTGGAACATCGGAACGAACAGAAGTCTTTCAGGTACCTCGGTGAGTGGAAAAAGGCCAAGGAGACCGGCAAGATGCCCAGCTCCTCTGGCCAGGCCAGGCCCTCAGGTGTTTTTGTTAGCTCATTTCTCTGTTTTTTGTGCTGATTTCAAACTGTTGGGAGAGGTTCGAAGAGGGTGAGCTTGGTGCGTTTAGGAGTTTCATCATGTTTTTGGTGTCGACTCATTGGGTGTATGGTGCAGATTAGTTGCACAAGTCTGGTGGGGCAGTGCATATTACGTTGGAAAAACATGTGCACGCAATCTGCCGCCCTTCAGGGCAAGAGGGGCGATCTCGAAATTGCTTGCGGAAGCAGATCAAAGTTCACCTTCCTTCGTGATCCTTTGCAGAAAGCATTGTGCCTGCCAGGAAATCCGAGGCGACATGTCCCTGAAGGCCCGACTCGGCGTGTCCAGGAATTCGTCCGTTTTGGAGCATTTCGTTGGCGGCAGTCGATCTTACGGCCTGTCCCATGTTTTTGACATTCGGTGATCAAAGCGCCTAAGACGCTGTGCAAAAGGGCAGTGCCGTTGAGTTCGGATCGTGTCAGCTTTGCGGCTTTTGAGGAGCTATTTTGCCCTCGTCATGTCATTTCTGTCGTGTTTCTGTGGTAGCTTGCAGTTGCTAGCACCAGGGCACTGAGTGTCCTGCTGCGAGCTGGTATCAAGTTCCAGTGGAGGCCGCAGAAGGGAATAGCATCCGATAGTCAATGAGGCTGGCAACTCTCAGGATGGCAAGGTTCCTACAGTCTCCTTAGGAATTCATTTTGGTTTTGTTCGTATAACACCCAAGAGAATATTAAAGATATTGTTTTATTTATGGTTCAAAGGGGGGTATAGCATCCGTTTAGATCCTTCGTACTAACGACACTAGTAGTCGTCAAGATAGTATGAGTAATATTTGCAACGAGTATACCCATTAACATAATCATAACAATAAAAGTAATAGTAGTAATAACAATAATAACCAGCATCTTACGAGCCGTAAGCACGAGATAGTGATAACAGTGATTGTTGTCCAAGTATTTGGCGCCTGGATGAGGACATCCTGGCACTGATGGAAGTGCGCGCTGAAAAGGCGCTTCAGGACACGGCTTGTGCTGAGTCCGGATCTATGCCTCATAGTACCCTAGGGCTCCAATTACTGCTAGTAACCCTACTTTTTGGGCAACTGGAGCCCCAGGGGTAGCCATAAGCCGACCCGCGCCAGTAGCTCTCAACCGCAGAACCCAAAACGGCCAGCGAACAGCAGTATGAGGCGAAGACCCCACGAAGTCTCGCCTCCAGGACGGCTCTCTAAACCCCAAGTGGGGGAAGGCCATCTCAGACTTGAATGGCAGAAGGCCCCCGGAGGGCGAGGTAGACATCACGAGCAGTCGTGACAAAACCAGCCATTTCCGGTAAGATTGTCTGCTCTCGGGAAACTCTGACTAAACAGCAGAGAGACATTTGTACGGGATGAGCTTCAGAAGCTACAGCTGTGTGTCAGATCTGGAATCTGGAAACAAAGTGGGGTCCACAATAGGTAGTAGCGGCCATCGTGATTTGGGGCGCTGGTCAGCTCCGGGTTCCAAGAGATCCCGCTGTGGGTGGTTGGCAAAAGTCGGGTCCTTCTTTGGGTCCCTAATATATAGTACGGCACCTAGTATTCAGGTACACAAAAAGGGGACCCGAATTTTGACAACCACCCATTTCAAGATCTTGACTCTCAGTTCTTGGTGTTTTGCTCGGCACGGATGAATTTAGTCTCGTCGCTTGGGGGTTGAAGTGCATGGTGCCTCCCGGCTTCTGTGTACTATCTCGAAGTCTGATCGCTCAGCCGCCACCTTCAGGTCTGAAAGCTGGAACCTGACAATACTGGAGTCTGAATAATCAGCATTATTTTCTAGAGGGTTTCGGATCGAGCTTGGCCTAGCATTGCCGATTCCCCAGTGGGCTGTTGACCCACGACTTGTACCACGGTGCGACAAAGTCCGTCGTGGCACCGCTCCCAGCGCCGCCGCCGCCATAAGGCAAGGTTGCGCCTCCGTTCTGCGCGTTCTTTCGGTGCCAGACCCTGGCGTCGAGACTTGGTGCTGCTGGCCAGGCACCACAGTGCTCCCGTTTTTCGAGAGCTTTTTACCGGCAAGGCTCCCTCCATGGGCAAGAAGCCTTACTACCCGCAGTACGGTGCAGAATGGTGGAAGGACGACGAAAGCTACAATCGCCAGCCCGCTGGTGGCAAAGGCTGGCATGTGTGGCCGGGTGCATATGCCTCCTCGCCCAATGCTGCCAAGGCCAAAGGCCGCGGGAAGCCCCTTCGCTACGACCAGATCCCTCTACCGGACAGCCGGAATGTCAAGGACTTCCCAGAGGAGGAGATCACCGAGAGCCTAGGGGGCGTTATGGTTCGCGATGTACAGAGGGCACTTACGACAGCCAAGAAAGCGGATCAGAAGGTCAGAAAACTCAAACAAGAGATTCTGACGAGAAGGGAGCAATGGGCTCTCTACGAGAAGCAAATGAAAGCAGACTATACGGCGCAGAAACGTCTGTTCCAGCAGGACCAAGAAAGACTCGACAAGGACTTGGAGGCGGCCATCTCTGCTGGCAAGCAAGCAGCTGGATCTGTGAAGCACTCCATCGACAATGTCCAAAGGGTCGCCTCGGAGGACAATTCCTGGGAGGAATTGCTGCACAACGCACCCCACATGGAGGTGGAGCCGAGGGGATTCTTCGACGAGGCCCTGAACTTGGTCCAGCAGGCAGCCAGTCGGAGGCAGGCCCAATGTCCTCCGCCTTCTGCCGCAGATGCCCAGCTCGGTCAGGCCTTGCGAGCACACCTACAGGCAACTGGGGGCATCGAGGGTTTTGGTCAGGTCAATACGCCTCCCCAAGAGCCACCCCCCGAGCGTGGGCCTCCACCGGGATTTGCTGGCCCACATCCTGGTGCTCTGTATACCACCTCCTCTCCGTATCCTTATCTACTTGCAGCGGAGGGGGGTCGTCCGGCTGGTGGCTATGGCCCCACGACCTCACAACGAGCCGCGGAACGACGCTTTTCCCCACTGCATCCGGGTGGGCGCTCTGTCGAGCCTGGCCTGTCTGCAGAATTCCCTTTGGCCTCTGGCGAGACCCTTACTGTGGGACAGAAGCTGGACATGAAACAGGCCGCCGCCATCGCTGCTGCGTTTCGGGCAGCCACGGCAACCGATGGCAATGGCAGCACCTCATCGGTGCCTGTCAGTGGTCGGGCTATGCACCCATTCGGGATGCCTCCTACTGGTCCACCTCCGCCTGCTCCAGGTGGCTCTGTTGCTTCGGGTGCAGAGGGTGCAGTGGATCTGGATGGAATGGACGACACTTCCCACCGTGCAGAAGAGCCCACGTGAGCAGTAGGCCCTTTTGTCGTAGCTCGCCACATTGGAGTTGCTCGACTGGTTCCCTGGCCGGCCCGCATCTTGTGAGTTCCTTTTGGAATTCCTCGATGCAGTGCTCGTTCGGGTGCTACCTTTTGAGCGATGCCTCTGTGGCGGTCTATGGCGGCACTGGGCGGTCTCACACCCCTTTTGTGAGTAGTTCGGCCGTAGGTGGTTCTCTCGCGGTACACCCTACTGCCCTGCTTTCGCGCGGCCAGCCTTGTCTTTCTCTGCAGGTTTTGCCTTCACCTCTGCAGCCTTTGTCTTTCGCCTACGTCGCACTCTCATGGAATCCTTGGGTTTTGGATTTCCATGGAAGGGTTGACGTCTCTTCCTCTGCAAGCTGCGATGTCCTTTGTCTTGAGGATGTTCGGCAGCTTGCCTCGCCATGTGCACTCCAGATGGGTTCTGCATTGTCAATCCTTTCTTTTGAGAGAGCGCCTAACAGCTACATCGGTGGCGCTGGGGTAGCGGCCTCTCACCCTCCTTCTTTACATGGACACATCACTGTCTTGCCGGATGTTTGCTCATGTGCGATTTCCCGGCCGCCTCGGGTCTCTTTGACCCGCCTTCTCTCTGCTTCCCCCGCCCGCTCCTCTGTGGCTGTGGTGGGGTGCTGCCCCGGTGCTTCGAGCTTTGGCTCCCTTCTTCCGCTCCGGACATTTCTTTCTTCCGATCGGGGTATACTCTGCTTTCTTCTGCAGAGTATTGCGACGTGGCTTCTTCCATTGTGTCGGGCCCTTTTCGCAATCCTTGGTCTTGCTTTGTGTGGGGTTTTGTGCAATACGCTTCCCACCAGGGACTCCCCCCTTAGCACCCTCATTAGGCTGCCTTTTAAGGGTTCTCAGACACGGGTTCTCCTTCCTTTGGCTGCCGTTGCTTCGCCTTCTCAGGCTGCACTGTTGTGGTCGGCTCCGATCAAGCACACCGAACGGTAAGACAAAGAGACCCTCGGGAGGTATCTCCTCTATCTGGCGCCGAGCTCTCTTTGCCTCTGCCCTTTTTACCCTGCCTGTTCCGATTTGGTGCGCTCCTACGCCTGAATGGACTGCAGCCGTTCACACAGCCAACCAGCTCTCGGAGGCTCGTCCTGATCCCTTGCCGGATCTTCCAACAGCCAGGGTCCCCTCGACCCACCCGGCTACAGCAGGACTAATCGATAACGACTCTCAGCGGGTAGCCCTTGTCCTTGCGCCGGGTTACCGTGGTGCGAAGGTGTTTCTGCCTCCTGGCCAGCTGCCCGATGCCGAGGTCCTGCTTGCACAGGTTGCCGAACTTATCCCCAATGCACTCATCCCCGCGCCCTTTCGATTGGTGCCAGCCTTCCCACAGACAGCTAATGGCTATGCAGTCTTTGCACAGGTGCCACTTTGGCTCCCTGCAGCCCATAGACGGGTCATAGTTATTGATATGACCCCCTGTGAGGGCCCGCTTTTTGCTTCGTTCGGGGATAGTAGGCTTGATTTCTCTGATCTCGAGTACTTAGCTTCCGAGCATCTTGGTGTGCCCTGGGATGCCTATCTGGGAACCGACACCAATCCCCTCCGGTCCTCTTCTAGGCCTACGGTTGAGGATGGATATGTTATCCAGTTCAGGCCTATCCATAACTCACCCCCGCCATGGCAGCCCCGTTTTCTTGACATGCTGGTTGAAGAGGAACTTTGGCGAGATGCGCCATATGTCTACGGCGACGGGGATCAACCCACCCGATGGGCGGTGCTGCATGAGAGTTCGATCGTCTTTATCACACATGACGGTGTTCTTGACGACGCACTACGCCAGATCATTGCATCCCGCCTACATTCTCATGCGGAGCTTCTCACCATTGAGCCTGCTCCGCGTGCCCTCAGCGACTCGGTTGCCTATGCTGGTCAAGCAGTGCATGGCTTGCTCGCTGTTGCGCTCAGATCAGAACTGGTGGCGTTTGAACCTCCACGGGATGTTCCTCGCTTCTTGGATCTGCGCCCAACTGGCCGTGATGTCACACACATGTTCACTAACACCGCACCCTTGTCTTCCGACGTCGTTCTGGAGGTTGCTGATACTAGGCCCCCTGATGGTTTTGCCCCTAGGGTTCTTTCTCCTAGTACCGTTGGTGGCCACTTGTCCCCCTCCTTTTCAGGTGCCATTGTTGTCGGTTACAGCTCACACGCTGTGCCTACCGCAGCAGACTCGCCGGAGCATGCCCCAGGTACAGCGACCGATGAGCTGCCGCGCAGCGTGTCTTCTCCTGCTCTTGCACCCGAGGAAGACGAATCTCCTTACACGGGGCCCGACTCCTCGGCCTCGTATCCTGTCCCTTTTGTTCTCCTGACACCAGATTGCATCCCTGAAGTGCATTGGCTTGACCTCTCCTTTCCACTTTCGGTGCAAGAATCCCTCCGGGTTCTCAGGACTTTCAGGGTTGGACCGTGGGACGCCAGCACAGATCTCCTGGTCCCAGTGTTCCCGCAGCCCGACAAAGAGTTTGCCACCCTGCTTGCTTTGCCGCCTTGGGCAGAAGGATGCAATTGCGTCTTGGTTGACTCACGTCAACTGCTTGGCAAATTTTATGCTGCCGTCGTTGATAATTGGACACAATGGTCAGTCTTCCTGTCTCGTCTCGGATATGAGGTCACTCACCAGATCACCATTTTTGTGCGTGGCATACCGCTTACGCCCGGTAGACCGGTGATGCTTTCCCAGGGCGATGTTGTTACGGTGCTATCTGCCTCTGCTGAGATTGCGCCACTGCTCACCCTGGATTCCATGCTCCTTTCGCGCTCGACCTGGCGGTCTTCCCTTGCGCTTTCTGTTACCCCTCCTCGTTGGGTCTACCACGTTCTCACTGATGGCATGCCGATTGTCCTCGAGATTGAACGTCGTACCATTCAGTGCGAACTTGATTTCCGTCACCTTGTGTGTGCCAGGTTGCTGGGTCAGGTTCATCGCACTTCAGTACATACACCTAGCCCCCGTATCGGTAACAGTGCACCTGGAGGACGTCCATGCCATGCTGTGCTTGTTGTCACGGAGACTCTGCCTGCAGTACCTGTGCCTCCAGGACGTGTTCCCAGACTGCAAGGCGTCGTTTTCTTAGATCTTCGCCTTATTTTTAAGGGTATGTCCTGGCAAGTTGTTGAGGGGAACCATGTCAGCCTTTCTCGTTTAGAGAGGGAGTTCGGCGTTGACGTGCCAGCGGGCTATCGGGTCAGTGTCCTGGGTGGTTCGGCTGAACTTATCGGTGATCAGACTATGCTGAGGGTTGAGCATAGATCCACGCTCACTGTTGAATACGTGCCCTCGGAGCCTCCACCTCCACCTTCTTCCACTTCCCCTGCTTCGGATGGTCCATCGCATGATGGCCCCGACGGTGATCATGGAAACGGCGATGAGGATGACGATTCATCATCTTCCAGTTCAAGCTCGTCACCGTCTCCCCCAGCGAGACCCAATAAGCGACGGCGCAACCGATTGCCGACCGGCTCTTCGCGCACAGCAGCACATGCTCACGGCACCCCTGGTGCCACAATATGCCTCCTTGTTGCGACAGTGCCTTGTGCAGCTCACGTCGGGACTTCTGGTCAATATGCGCATATGCCCATCTCCGACGGCTACTTGTCATTCCCTTCCCCCTTCGGGTTTAGCCCTGCCTTTTGCCTCTCTCTGCTGCTCCCCAAGGAGCCCTGGCCTTCCTACTTCTCGCCTCGTTTGACATGGCCTTCGGGTTTAGAGTATAGTAACCCCTGCTGCCATTCTGTTCATCGATGCGAGCCTCATGGCCACAAGCTTTCTCAGGAGCCTACTGATACGACTGTGACTGGGCAAAGGCTCATCTCCGACTTGCGCCGTGCCACACGGGTGCTTGGGGGGACTTGGCCAGTGCTTACCCCTGACGGCACAAGGACTGATGAGTTGGGCTCGCATTCCTCGGATTCCGACCAGGAGGACTTCCGAACACAGTGGATTGCGACGGTCATCTTAGTGCCGTTGTATGCCCCAGAAGTGTTGTCCATCGCCTTACAGTTGCCGGCTGCGGTCGGCCAGTGTATTGCTGCTGCACAGACAGCTCGCCATCCCACAGCACTTCAGCGTTTTCCCTGCCTGGTGCCTTTGCACCCCCAACCAATTTATGGTGTCGCATCCTTTCTTGCTGTGCCGGACTGGCCCACTCTCAAGGTTCTGGTTTGCGCTGATATGCGTGCCATTGATGGTCGACTTCTGGCCATTGAAGCTCCCGCCTATGTTGACAGATCTCAACTCCTGCAGCTGGTCACACTTCCGGTTGAACGCTCAATTGAGGTTTGTGTTGGGCCTCTCTCAGATTCCTTAGGCCCCGATGCCTCTGTCCATTTGCGTTCTGGAGATGTGATCTCCTACCGGCCACTCTCCGAGCCGCCAAGTGTCTCTTCTACCCTTGAAATTCTCCTCAGAGTTTCCAGGGAGTGGCTTGAGCGCATCGAGCTGCCATCGGTTTTTGGAACACCCGCCTACTGCCTGGTTACGCCTGAGGCCATTGTCCTCTTTCAGACCAATTTTGCGCAACCGACGCAATACAGGAATCATATTGCCAATGCGCTGGGCTACTCTTTGCGTCATCTGCGGCTCCAACCAGCACGGCCCCAGGTTCGTGATGCCTTTTTGGACGGACATTTCTGCCACGCTGTCATTGCGGTGTCTGATGCAGCTGCGTCCAATCATGACGCACATGTGCTTCTGGACTGCCGCTCTCTCCTTGCAGGATGGCGCATGTATTGTGCCAGGGATGGTATGTTGGACATTCAAGTGGTGTTAGCCCTGCTCTCTGAGCTTGTTCCCCCGGGTTTCTGTGCCTCTTTTCACGATATCCCTTCGGACATTGCACACCTTAGAGTCACGCCTGGCAGAGTACTTGAGGTTGTTATCAAGCCCTGCCTGCCAGCGGCTGCTCCACAGGATGTCACTTCCGTGCCCACAGACGGTACAGTAGCACCCCATGGAGCGGATGCTCCGCCCGTATCTGAGATAGGTGCAGCTGACAGCCACCCCTTGGCACGTGCTAACCCTCCCGCAGATGAACTTGCCGCACACTTGATTGCTCCAGATGGCCCTCCAGAAGACTCTGAGACTGCACCCGGCAGCTCGCACATCAGTGCTTCTTTCTTTGTGTTTTCACCCGATTATGCCCCTGAGCATGTTGAGGTTAGGACTCCTCTGCCAGTCACTGTGCATCGCGCCCTGGAACAAGTCTCTGCGGGTCGGCATCCTTTACACCGTCTCAGATTCCCGCGACTGCTCCCATGCGTCCCTCAAACAGTCCCGGGCCTGGCTACACTTGTCTCGATCCCAGTATGGACCAACCAAGTTTGTGTCCTCATTGACAGCAGGCTCTTGAACGATCGGCTCTTTGCTATAACGCTACCAGCTCGGCAGTCGAGAGACGACCTGCTCCGCGTTGCCTCAATCACAGAGGCCGATGGCACTTTGGTCTTTGTTGGGAATCTGCCCTGGCCAGTGCCCGACCTGCAGTGGGCAACACTTAGGGATGGTGATACCGTACATTTATTGCCTCCTGATCACATCCCCTTCGCTGTGGTCGAGCTTTCTGATATGCTCCAAGACCCAGATGCCTGGCAAGTAGAACCACACCTGCCGTTTGACCGCCATGACTTTATCTGGGTCATGTCCGCGCAGTCGAACTTTGAATATCTTGTTCCGCCCAGCCGACGACAGGAACTGCGTGAGGACATCGCTGCTGTTCTCCACAGCAGCCCAGCGGCACTTGATCTGAGGCCTGCCCTTCTCAATGATGCCGATTTCTATCGGGATGGACATGCCATGCGAGCTGTTCTCGCAATCCTTACAGGGCACCGACGCTCTGTTCCCAGAGACAGGCCACCTGTCTGTTTTCTGGATCTGCGACCTATTCTGCTTGGGATGTCGTGGATTACTGTGGCTGAGGGGCGTGTTGACCACCAAAGGCTCCTACTGCGCTTCCAGCCTCGGTGCCCTCCTGGACACACCGTTGCCGTATCTACCCATGACCAGTTTCCTGCGCCTCTATCAGCCGACATAGTCATTGCCGATGGATGGGCAGGTTTTGGTTGTTGATTTTGTCCCAGCTGACTTCGCAGCCAACGGTTGGATCCCGGTCACTGCCAGTCGTGGATCAGATCCGGAAGAGCCGTCTGATTCTTCCTCTTCTGCCCCGCTTCCGGGCTTCATTGTCACAGCCGGGCTTCGCAGCCCTGATGCGGGTACTGGGGGCTCCTCCACTGCAGCCTTCGATGCCACCACCCGGACAGCTTTTGCGTGTCATCCACGTGCTGCACCCGCCCTTGCGTGCACTCATGTCAGTCGAGTAGTTAAGTGTCAACAGCCTTTTTGTCTGGTGCTCACCTCTATCCTCCTGCATGTTGTGCCACCCCTCACTTGGTCACCTCGGCATCTCCTTGTTGTGGGCCGCCGTAGTCTGTGCCCTGTGTGCACCGCTTGCTGCCATCCCTTGGCGTTGTCGAGTGTTAACTGCAGAATCGCTCTGTGGCGGCAGCTTTTCACTCTCCTCGGCTCAATGTTCACCGCCTTTTCTCTTAGGAGTGCCGTTGCGATGATATGGCTGAGCTGCCTACCGATCGCAATTTTGTCTGCTGCTGCCAGCGTTTTTGGCGCGACTACGAGCCTTATTTGCTGTGCTTGCAGCATATTGCCTCGGGGACTATCTGCGAACAGACCCTTGCTCTTGTGGATCTTCCTTGTCGCTCTTCTCTGCACTCTTCCAGCGGTCGCCGCGGCACCGCCGGAAACCAGCGGGCCTTTGTCTCGTGGACTTTCTCCTGCTGAGATCGCTGCTGCCCTCACCGCCGGTAGCGCTGTTCGATCCGTTGCCACGCCCTGTCGCAGGCGTCTCGGTCACATTCCCAGCCCTGCAGCTACTGGCCACCATGCAATTCCCCTTGCGACTGACCTGCTAAGACCCCGGTCACAGGCTGCCTCTTCTGTGGATCCGCCCCTGCCGGGATCTAGTCGCATCTCACTTGCTGACACTGTGCCGGTTACCTCCTACCAAGCATCTTGCCTGGGGTTGCAGTCCTGCTTGCCCAGTCATGGCTTCGGCTACGATCCTGACCTGGATTGGCTGGACAATGATCTTTGCAGCCTGGTGGAGTCAGGTCGTGTGAAGGAGCCTGTCCTGGGTGCTGTCCTGAGTACTGTCTGCTGGCATGATGCTGGGCAGCCTGCCCCGGATTCCCTTGCCATATATACTGACGGGTCGGCCCCAAGAGATCCCTTGGATCCTAGTCCCTGTGCTTGGTCCTTCAATGTGTGGGCCCTCTGTGGCGGTGCTCGTTACTTTGTTGGACACTCCGAAGCGGTCGCGACGCACTTGGGCACCCCATGGTACCTCGGTGAATGCCGGCACGATGCGTTGACTGCCGAACTTTTGGCTCTTTGTTGGGCTTTGGCATGGCTGATCGAGGTCGGCCACCGATTTGCCGTTCCTGCCACCCTCTTCTATGACGCATGCAGCGCAGGAGGTGGTGCTTTTGGATCCTCCAAATCGCCTGTGGGCGCAGATAAAGAATACCAACAGCTTTCTAGTCTTGCGGGTTCTTTGCGGCATCTTGCCACAGCGCTCCTTCCGCTACACCACCAGCACGTCAAAGGCCACAGTGGCTGTCTGGGCAACGAGCTTGCGGACCTCTTCTCGAAATGGGTCCGGTGCCTCTCGGATGATCCATGGCAGCGCTGTCTGCCACAATGGGTCGCTGCCTTCGCTGCCCACGATCTCCGCCAATGGGCTTGGACGTTTTTCTGTTCTGGCCCCGACATGCTGTCGTGCTACACCTTTGAGTCTGAAGCTCGACGCCTCCAATCGCACCGTGCCCTGCCTGCTGTTGCGCCCATGCAGGGCATTCGGACCACCACGCGCCCGGCTGAGGATGTTAGATGTGGCCTCCGTGTGGTGTCGTTCAATGTACTTACCATGCGTGACCCTACCCTCCCTGGCCACGGAGCTGTCACTACCACGCTTAGCAATGATGTGGGCTTTCGCCTCTTTGGCCGCAAACATGTCTTGCAGCGCTCTCTGGAAGAGTACAGCCCGAACATAGTCGGATTCCAGGAGACCCGTCTTCCCGATGACATCACCCAGCATGATGACTCCTACTATATCTTTCAGTCTCGGGCCAACGACCAAGGTGTTGGAGGGTGCGCCCTGTGGCTTTCGCGGCGCATTCCTTACGCCACTCAGGGCTCTGAAAGCCTTTTCTTCCACCCATCTCATGTCACTGTTGTCGGTTTCTCATATCGACATCTGATAGTGCAGATTTCCGCACCTCGCCTTCAGCTTATGGTTGCTGTGCTGCATGCTCCGTCCCTGTCGAAACACCCCTATGCCGAAGTTTCCTCCTTCTGGGACCAACGCTGCCGTGAGATATCCCGACGCCCCGAAGGATCTGACTTCTTGATCTTAGTTGACGCCAACGCGCGTCTTGGAAGCGCAGTTTCAGATAGTGTAGGAGATCATGACGGTGAAGAAGAACAGGAAGCAGGTTCCCTGTTCCACACATTCGTCATTCAGCTGGGAGGATATGTCCCAGCGACTTTCTGCGCGCACCATCAGGGGCCCTCCACCACGTGGCGGTCTGCCCTGGGCGGCCGTCACAGGATAGATTACATCGTCACCCCGCAAGCCTGGTCTACATATGGTCTCACCACCTCGGTTTTGCAGAACTTCGAGGCCCTACAGCTCCGAGAGGACCATAAGCCGGTTGCCCTAAGCTGTGCTTTCGGGTATAAGGGTAAGCCCACCTCTTACACTGACAGCCGTCGTCGTGCGATCCGCCCTGGCCTCCCCCGTACCACCACAGAGTTTGCACGTGTCTCTGGTGCCTTTGCCCACATTCCCTGCTTGCCTTGGTCCCTTGATGTGGACCTGCACTGTCAGGCTCTCTCCCAGTCCTGGTGTGCTGCCGGCACGCAGCTTCTTGATGATGCTGCGATTGCTCCGCGTGCTCCTTATGTGCCCCCTGAGGCCCTCCCGATTATCCAACGTCGCCGGGCTCTCTGTGTCTATCTCCGACAGGAGGAGAAAGAGACCTGCCGTCGGCGTCTTCTCATCGGTTTTGCCGCCTTCCGGCTGGCAAGTTCCGGTGGACGGTTTACAGCTGCTGCTAGGGCCACTGCGGATCATTGGATCGCGGCCATGGATCACAGCATTGCTGTTGCGTGGGCCTATTTCCGTGATCACGGGTTGCAGTTGCGCCGCCTTGTCTCTCAAGGTAGGCGACGATACCTTCAAGGCCTTGTCTCCAATGCTTCAAGCATCGACACCCGGAATCCCAAAGAACTCTATGCAGCCATTCGCCGGGCATTTCCCGCTGCCCGGTCCTCCAAGAGATCCGGCACTTGCCCTCTTCCAGCCCTGGAACTTCCCTCCGGTGAGCTTGCAACTACTGCATCTGAACGTGCGGCTTGTTGGAGGAACCATTTCGCGGATCAGGAGGCAGGCGTTGAGGTCACACCCTCTGAGTATGTTGCTGCCTTCCAGCAGTATCATAGGCCTTATGAGCACTTCGTCTTCGATGCTTCTGTTCTTCCTGGACTGCTCCAGACGGAGTCCATCATCCTCTCATTGAAGAACGGCAAGGCGTGTGGGCCCGACGGTGTAACGGCTGAGATTCTGAAACTCCGCCCTGCCTTGTCGGCTAGGGAACTTCTCCCTCTGATGCTGAAATCTTCCCTCTCCATCCGCGAGCCAGTCGCGTGGCGAGGTGGCGACTTGGTTTTGGTTGCCAAAAAAGCCGGCGTTGCACTCACCTGCTCTCACTACCGCTCAGTCCTGGTTGCCAATGTTATGGGGAAGGTCTACCATCGTGGCATACGTTCCCATCTCACCCCTCTTCTCGAAGAGAGTCAGCCTCCCTTGATGGCTGGTGCCACCGCCGGAGCTGGCATTGAGATTCCGGTCCTTGCCATCAAAAGCTTTCAGCTCTTGATGGGCGCACAGCGTCGCCCCTGGGCGGTTGTCTTCTTTGACTTGCAAACTGCTTACTACGCGGTGCTCCGCCAAACGATAGCTGGCAATGTGGAGTCTGATGCTTCTTTGTTGCAGCTTCTGCACAAGCTTCGTCTTCCCCCGCAAGCTCTCACGGAACTGAAAGACAAGCTTCATCTCCTTGCAGAGCTCCCGACTCTTGGAGCGTCTGAACACCTCCACTCCCTGGTGCGAGATCTATTTACAGGCACCTGGTTCAGAGTCAGTGGGGACGCTGTTCTCACGCTTACGAAGCGGGGATCTCGCCCTGGAGACCCGCTTGCCGATGCTTTGTTTGCTGTCACCCTGTCGGCCTACCTCAAGTCGGTGTCGCAGGCCCTTGGGGAGGCGGACATGCTCCCCGATTTGCCGCACTGCCGGAACCGCCCCCTGTGGGCGGACGACGACTCTGCGTCATGTCTCGGGAGTCCAGCATGGGCAGATGATTTCACGCTCCCACAAACTGGGACCTCACATACAGACCTTGTAGTGAGAGTTGCTCGCTGCACCCAGCTAGTGGTGACCCACGGGCGTTCCCTGGGGATGACGATTAAGTTCGGAGTTGATAAGACCGCCGCCCTGTGCTGCTCCTCGGTGGAACGGTTTGCCATGCCTCAGTTTCAGGTTAACGACGAAGGCCTCCACCTGTTGCCCGTGCCTGACCCGCTCGGGGAAGGCCTTGTTCATCTGCCTATTGTTGACTCTTACCGCCATCTCGGGGGTATTGTCGTCTCGAATTGTGCAACTGCCCCGGATTTGCACTTTCGTTACTCTCGTGCTGCGGGACTGGCTCGTTCTCTCCGGCGCAGGTTATTTTCTTCTCCGGCTTTCGATTTGGCCACCAGGCGTGTTCTTCTGCGTTCTTTGGTGGTGTCGAAGTTTGTTCACACAAGTGCTTCACTTGTGTTGCGCACTGCTGAGAGTAACCGCCTTTGGGAGAGGTACTATGTTGCGCTCTTGCGTAACCTTCTCAAGCGTGTCTCCGCAGAGAAGCAGGCACATTCCTACGAAGTACTTCGTACTGCCAGGGCTACTTCTCCGCCGCTTGCTTTGGCTAAGGCGCGAGCACAGTTCC